GGACCCACTCCCTGATATCTTCTACAGTAATCCCTCTTTATCAGGACCTTGCATACATCAGCTGTTCTTTTACACATCCACAGATGTACATATTTTATGTTGGAAAAACAAATACCTGGCCAATTTCAGATGTAGACCCTGAAATCCTGTTAACATTTTTTCACTTCTTCAGTTTTGCCTGTTGAGATCTGGCACCGACTTTTTACTCTTTGTTGTTCTGCTTGGCTTCTTTTCCCTCCGGTGTTGGGGGTGAATTTGGAGTGTGTTGCACACCTGCATCCTAGCTCTGAGTCTCATTGTCTTGGATTTCATACATGTTTTGCGTTGAATACCTGTGGAGGATCTTATATCACCACTGCTATCTTTCTCTTTACTACTGAATGTCTTGTTTAGCGATAAAACTGTACTTTCTGCAATTGATTTATTGCAGTTTATGCCTTGTGTTGGCCTAAGTGAAATGTTGTCCATTCAGAGCTTATGGAGACCCCCCTTAAACCAAGAGAGGATTTTAGATTGTTGCTAGCTGTGAATTATGGACTGTATGTTCAGAGTTGTTTGAAGTAATCCTTTTCTCTTCAAATGTTGCTAATAAACACTCACTTTAAGATCTTTTAACACCTCCAAATCTACATGCAATTGTCACTTATCACAAGCGTTTGCTAACTTCAAACAGTCCTCACGATATGTAGCTAAGCCTCTTATGATTTTAACAAGATAGCATAAATAGGGCCTGGATTTTGTAGGGAATTGAAAAGCTGAATATTTAATCTTTGTATAATTCAAGACAGTGAAGTCCAAGACTTTGATGTAAGTCAGTTAACATGATTATTAATAAACTCAGGTACTGTATCACTGTTAAGAATGACCCCAATACACTCACTGGACCAAATAAAAAAGTGCTTTACTGTAAATAAGATTTCCAGTCAGTAATTATTGTTTAAACAATATGTCCTTTGACATTTCATTTATTGAGTAGATTATTTCCACTGATTGTGTTACATTTTAGGAGAATGTGTGGCTAGAACTGTGTCTAATGAACTGAAAATGTATTATAAATAATTTGAAAAGCACTGTTTTATAGACTGTAATGGCACTTGAGGGAATAAAATGAATGTTTTTGAATCTGAAATATTACACATGCTAGGCAGAGTGTCGAGTCTATTTTCATATTCACCATTAATGGAAGCCAAGGCTAACCCATAAACTGTATTGGTAGTTGGATGGAACCTTTTAAATAAATGATGCAGAGTGTACATAATTGAAATACATCATAAAGAAATGTAAAAACTCTGAAATGACTACATGTTGGTGCTTGGTTGTCTCTTGATCAATGCTAAGTATGGATAATGCACACAGCTCAGGCAAATGATTTGCTTTGATTATTTTTTTTGTGTCAGTGATGCTTTCTATATTGCATTTTATTGTGAATTTTTAATTTATTTTGACAGTTGTGATGTAGCAAGGCTATTGAGGAGTAGGCTTTTTCTTGCCAGTCTCCCACACACTATAAAATACTACTAAATTGTGGGATGCAGATTTTTGTTCAAGCTCTCATTTAATGAACACAGTTTTAATTAAGATCGTATGTGATTGACTGCTAGTTAATTACACTTACAGGTAAATGTCAATCAAAGACTGTAATCATTAATTGAAAACATTGCGCTAATGCATCATCAATTTAGTATCTCTCTACTCTCTGCATGATATAATTTATAAATCAATATTTATGGATTTAATTTGAAATCAATCAAAGTGAATAAAATATAAACTTCTAACAAAATGAAAATTTGATGGTAGTGATAATCTTAAAACAATCTCTTTCTGACACAAAATCTATAAATAAAGTTTTATAATTTATAGTAAAGACATTACCCCAAATAGATAGTAAACTTTTTTTTGTCAGAAAAGTTTAATTAAAGGGTCCATGATGCTACCAGGTCATTACCAGATAATTTATATCCCTTTTTGGTTTTTAACACCAGAACATTGGCTAAAGACCTCTGTGATCTTTATTGAGGGGTTTTTGAATTTGTCCCTCAACAAAGCCAGAAATCAAATTTATAGATACCAATCATAGAGAAATAAAGAGTTCATTTAAGAGATTTGTAAAGCTGCTGTGTTAGTTGCCAGGCATGCAGGGCCGGGTGACAGGTTTGATTTATTAGAGCACCTTGCCAGGTTTCCTTCTACCTGGAAATCAGAGACTTGTGTGCCCAGAATCCCTGATTTACATGTTTGATTACACCTCAGTGGATAGCGGGATGGGGACATTTAAATGAAACACTAGGGGTGCCTATTTGGCTTTTGAAACTGGGCTATTGGAGCTGATTGACAAGAGGAGAGAGAGACCCTGGGTGCTGTAGAGGTTGAAAGAAGACCTGTTGAATTGCCATAATGACACAATGAGCATATCCATCATAAGATTCCCTCTGATTGGACAAGCAAAAAATGAACAGTTTTAATGCTTTTATTATCCCATTAATTTTCCTGCCAGATCTGACACACACTGAAGACTGCTCTGTTTGTACATATCATGTGAAAACATCCCAAATATGCAACAAATTCATATGACGATAATTTCATATTTTTCTTATATTAGTTATGAATTCAATACTATTTTAGGAGTTTTACATTTGCTAATACAGCAGACTTTAGCACTGAATGCACTTTTAAATAAACTTTGCTTTGAATGGATTAACTAGACTTTTAAAGATGCAAAAGTACATATATACATTTTTAAATTAAAAAAATAAATAGATGAACTGATGATATTGCTGCATCAGAGTATGAATTATGGGACATTTTTATACAAAACCTGAGAAGACATAATGAATTTATGTTATGGTAATGAAATTTTTTATTACATGTTGATAATATTAACTTCAACCCTTCATCTGATTTGTTTCAATTCTACAGCTCTAAATTGAAGCAAGAGAGCTGATCTGGTGAAATAAAATATAGATTGCAGCCTGTTTAATGATGCAAGCAGAGAGAAACATTTTATATGAAGTTCCATTATTTGATTGTGTTGCACTGCGTTACATAACATTCTGATTTTATCAGCAGAGATTAAAGCTTTTTCATAGCACTATTTCTGATTATACTTTTTTCCCATTAGGGCACAATAAAAAAGGGAGGCAATGATATCAGTTCACTGACACCAAGAGAGTTATCTCCCCCTGATTTTCTCCTACAATTTCTTCATGTCCAGTAAACATTCACAAGGAGATACTGGTGTTTTAAGTTACTTCATATTAATTAATGAGCTCTCCTACATAGCATTAATGATAACTAAACAATATTCTAAAGGATTTATCAATTGATTTTCCTACTCAGCCCAGTGTAAACTGCCTGAGTTATCTGTGACCAGTGCCTACTTTGTTTGATTATCATTTTACAAGGTGTGTTTTTGTAGTTTGTTTAGTCGCTGAATTCCAGAGCAAATAGAGATGAAAAGATTTTGTATTGGTTCTACAACTGATTACTAATAAAAAGACACATTGGAGATGTTGATAATTACAGGCCAAATGTGTTCTCATTAAACAATTATAGATTCAGTGTATCTATTTATGCTTCATATCATCCAAGGTAGTGCTGAAGTAAAAGAAGGTTGGCTTTTGAGTACAACACTTAGCTTCTTTTTTGGGGGGGGATTTTAAGTGGTCTTGGAAATTATTCTGTAGGAGTATCTTATCACTGTCTAAAGCAATTTTGACTGTGAGATCTGACAAGGAGACAAGAACTTGGTCTATCTTCCCCATCACTCAGATGAGAGGGATTGGGCTGAGGCACTTTAACTTTTGGCATCTACATTTACATTTGATTGGTTGATAGCACCAAGATAGACCAGAAATAAGTGTCAGACTGCATTTTGATTGGCTGAAAAATCAGATAAGGTGTTTTTCAGGTGTTAAATGTTGCAGGTTGTCAGTAAATATGCAGATAATCTCCCTCATTTTGTCAGTGATGGTGTGGTCACCTTAATAAAAGTATCACCTCCTAAGTGGCCTGAACACTGACACATGATGGACAATTTAATGTTTTATTTTTTGACACAGTTTATTACACTTCAAGGAATTTTTCAATAGGTGAATTTGACTTGACCACAAAATACCCTTTTTTTTCTTCAAGTAATTTTTTTTCTTTCATAGGACATGTTTATTTTTGTTTTTAAATCATTAATGCAGCAGAGTTATATGCAGTTTTAATTACTATTCTAGTAAAATGAACAGAGGTAATTAAATCATGCAGTGGATGCATAGTTATCAAATGTCATTTAAATTTTTAGATATGCTGCTCAGTGTAATACATCTTGTACTTTAAGGGGTGCACTTTGTTGTTGAATTAAGATAAGATTTCTGTATAATATCAACAAAGGAAAAAAAAGATCAATGCATGTATCATTCATATCTGTGACTTCATAAACATGCATAGGCCCAGAATAAACATCATTCATAAGTAAAGCACTTTAAGGTAAATATTTACATTCATCTCTCCTGTTGTGATGATATATTCAGATTCAGTAAACCATATGAAAAACTAATAACTTCAGTGGCCCTTACAGAATAAGTCATGTCTGTAGTGCCTGTCTTTATACTACCCCAGGGATAAGACACCACAAAATATGTAAATTGTATAGATTGTCATGTAAACAAGTATTCTGGTACAGATTTTCTGTTAAACATTTAGCTGAAAATGAGTCAGAGAAATTTTGCATGATGTGATTAACATAGCATATTATTCACTTTAAATATGGGTATAAAGTCTGAAAATGCATCTTAAATATTGCCTGATGATTTAAAAATCAGTTGCCCAATCCCATTCACATTTTGTGAATAAAATTGTGCATAAATAAATATCAGTTTTGGGGAGTAAGATTTTCATTTTTTTTCTGGACAGTTTGTCTGGGCTTAGCAATTTTTAAGTGAATATACAATATATAAAATCTGCTGTAGTATTAAAAATAAAATATTTACAGAGCTATGTTTTTTCTTTACCAGGACAATGTCAGAAGGCCCTAGGTATGGAGAGTGGGGAGATCCCAGATCATGCCATCACAGCCAGCTCCTCCTACGAAGAGGGCTCAGTAGGACCAGAGAGTGCCAGGTTAGATATTCAAACTTTCTTTTCTTAACAGTCCAATCAAATACTATTTTATATATGAGGACCAGCAGTCCAATCAAACATTTCCTTTAACGACCAACAGTCCAATCAAACACTCTTATGAGGACTAACAGTCTAATCAAACACTTTTTATAAGGACCAACAGTCCAATCAAACACTCTCTTATGAGGACTAACAGTCCAGTCAAACACTTCTCACAAGGACCAGCAGTCCAATCAAACACTCTCTTACGAGGACTAACAGTCCAATCAAACACTCTCTTACGAGGACTAACAGTCCAATCAAACACTCTCTTATGAGGACTAACAGTCCAATCAAACACTCTTCCTATAAGGACTAACAGTCCAATCAAACACTCTTCCTATAAGGACCAACAGTCTTATCAAACACTCTCTTACGAGGACTAACAGTCCAATCAAACACTCTTCCTATAAGGACCAGCAGTCCAATCAAACACTCTCTTACGAGGACTAACAGTCCAATCAAACACTCTTCCTATAAGGACTAACAGTCCAATCAAACACTCTATTACGAGGACTAACAGTCCAACCAAACACTCTCTTACGAGGACTAACAGTCCAATCAAACACTCTTCCTATAAGGACCAACAGTCTTATCAAACACTCTCTTATTAGGACCATCAGTCCAATCAAACACCTGTACTCTAATCTCATGAGTACCTACAGTTCAATCAAACACACTTATCTCACTATGAGCCACTACAAAAAGAATCGGTCAAACATTTCATAAGGAGAAGCAGTAGTTATTAGAATAATCTCATCTCACGAGTAGCTATAGTAACAGGAACTTTTTTTTTTTAAATTGTGCAGTAATATGTGCACAAAGCAGCTAATCCTCCCATTACTCAATGTCTGTGCTTGACATACTAATCCATATACCTTGACTCAAGGGTCTACTCCCGTGCTCAGACTCATCTCATCAGTATTGCTCCTGTGGGACTTTGATTGTTTGATATATATGTATCCAAGTAATCAGTTTATTATTGTTGAGTAGTTGTAAAAACAACCACAGAGTACCTACTGGGACCGATGATCTACTGGATCATCTGTAGCAGAGCCATAAGAACTGTCAGAGGAACGACACATAATGTATCTGTCTTCATGATGATCTACCATTTTCTATTTAATTACAGTTGCATTGAATTTGCAGTTTTCACTTTGCTGCGAAAAACTGCTTTTTCAAAATCATCAGTTTGTGTATTATAAAATTCTGGATTTTTGAAAGCTGGTGGGAATATTAGAGAAAATAAACAATGATAGATTGTGGCATTTCATTGTATTTCCCATTAGACTCTTTCCTTTTCGGAGATAATCTCCAATGTTTCCGATAAATGATGGAATCGTTTATTACGGAGTGATATTTCGGAACTCTCTTAGACACATACAATACATTGTGTCAGGAAATGTTTGCAGCAGCATCTCAGTTGTCATCTTGTTTATAACACCAAGGTCTCCAAGCTGCTGCTACTATTGATTTGGTGGTTTAGAACTTGTAGGAGATAATTTTTTACATATATTAAGTTGCATTTTCAAAACCGTGCACACACACAAAAAAAAAGACAAATGAATTTTTAAAAGAATCATTGTCTTTGACGTAAAAGTTCCTTGATATGGTTTTTCAAATAATTGGTTTGATCTTGGTTTGCACTTTCCTGGAATTGAATATCATGCTCTTGGGCAATTTTTATTAGAATTTAGGTCATGCATATGGTTGTTTTCATTAGTCTAGTTAGTAACTGTCTTCAAAGAAAAAATATTCTACACTCCATCAAAAGATTTCCCCCTTGGTAATTTTATGCTTGCAGAACAGGTTTGATAATGATGGAATGGAAATCAAATGTAATTCTCGGGATGCCAGGATGTAACATGTAATACGTCAACTCTGAAGCTAACTCAAGTCTGATAATGGCTAGGTGATGTATGGATGGCTGAATGCTTTAGTTGTTTCTTGACTGCAATAATGCAGTGATGGCCTTTGAAGCCCTGCACCTGAAATATTCCCCCAATTGATTTTTCCTGTAGTTTCTAAGTTTTTCCATTACAGGAAACAATTATTTCCACGTGAAAAAAAAATCAGTGTTCCATGACACACAGAATTGAATGATGAAACTATATTGCGAAAAAAGTGCTAATTGTTTCGATGGCTCTAAAGGAGAAGTGTGCCTTGACATGCAGGCTGGGAAATTGAATTATCTCCGGACTGGTCTTCCTCCAATCGTCTCCCTTCAAGCAACCACCACAGACTCTAGGGGGCACTGCCTTTTTACTCGTAAAACAAAGACATTGCCCGAAATATGTTTTTTATTGTCAACTGCAGATGGATCTGATGATTCACCCTTTTCTTTGCTCAGAATGAAGCAAACGTCTAAGGAGTAAGACACTGAGGCAGAATAACAGGAGAACTCCACCCAAATAGAGATACATTTCTTTCATTTTGCAGCACAGTAATGAGTCATGCAAAACTTATGAAATACAACCTATTCGTCACCCCAAAAATATCAAATTACATATTTCAAAAAGTATGCATCATTTGAATATTATAAATTACAATCTAGACAATGTTCAATCATAAAACTAAATTATGAATTCTTACATAGTATGCTTGCACCAGAAAAAAAATTAATATGATAAAGGACCTATTGGTGTCATAAACACACAGAGAAAATTAACGATGGATTCTGCATCTGCTGCTTATGTTTGTGACTAATGAAGCCAACTCTTGCTTTTGTTGTTTGGTTCATTTGAGCATTCTCCACATAACTGTCACTTATTGTTTGATCACCGTGTATAATTTGCACATCTGTTTATAGGGAGACAGATTTTAAAGGATGTGCTAAAAATGCTACACCAAGGCAAACTGTTTTTTTTTCACCCGATATAAGTTCTGCATATTAGTTGCGGGAAGCTGTTAATTTTTTACCTGTCGGTATGGAAAGGAACTCCCTTTAATATATCTCCTGCTGATTCTAACAGGAGTTGAATTGAAAATGGAGAAACTTTGTAGATGAAAAAGATTCATATCAAGGATCATTTTTCTAACTCAAATTCATGTAGAAGAAAAACCACAATCCAATAAATCAGAAGGATTCATGCAATTTGTGAAACTTTCTACCCCACTTATACATGAAATTGAATCATTAACAGCTATAGTGTTTTGTGCTAGGGTCTTTTGATGTTGCTATTTTGTCACGGACATCAGACATGCAAAAAGAAAGTTGGAACCTTGACTGCACAACCTGAGGTGGCTGGGATTATCTTCAGATTGTTTGTTACATAATGAAGTCTCAATCCGCAGGAAACAACATTTTTGATCAAAGAATCCCAAACAAGTTGTTGAAATACAAATTTTGGCATGGATGCATGTAATCTTCCTTAATATACAAATAAGAAAAAAAGTAACAAGATCCTTCAATTGATGTTGTACAAGTCGATCTTTGATGGATTGGGTCATGCAGGGATAAAAATTTCTAGAAGAATCCTCAAACACACACCAAAAAAAATATTCCAAAGATTTAAGAAAAGATTTATTGTATTTTGCAATAAACATCAGTACATGCATTTTGCTGAATAAATAATAGTTTTATATGAAAAAAATCTTTAAAGCAATAAAGAAAATGAATCTTAATTAGCTCTTGTTACACAGAAGATACAACTTAATGAGTACAAACCAGTGTGTCTCCAAAACTCTATAAAAAATGAGGATTATGAATTAGCCATGATAATGAATGTCTGCAAAATACATATGTAGGAAATTAATTCTAGATGACTCTAACACTGCAAGCATGATCAAATTACCGTTTCAAAAAATATCTTTTCTTTAAAAAAGATCTCTGTACGTTAGCGCAGTGACGGCATTTGGTTATGTAAAATATATAGTATGATAACTCACAGACATCAAAGTGCTTTATGAGCATACAGCAGTGATAAGGGTAGCATGTTTACGATCCTGCGGAGACTTGATGGTTACGCTGGGAGACCTTTGGACCCCCAGTCAGTACATCACCCTCCCCTTCTTATCCCCCATCTCCTCTCCCCTTTAGATCCTCCTTCCTTTGTGTAAAGGGAGCTGAAAGAGAGGCTTCAAAGGAATCACTGTGATGACAGATTTATTAAGTTTGAAAAAAGTAAATGGGGCCAGGAAAAAGATTGGTACGAGGAATGCTTGGAATTATTTCCAGATATTTTTAAAATGGATGTGAGCTAAAAAAAATAGTTCTGATTCTCTTTGTCCTGTTTGTAGATTTTACAGAAAACTATAAATTAACAAGTAATCACAATATCTGCATGTATTCTGCCTTTAAACAATTACATCCCATGGATATATTGTTTAGTTACGTAAATGAAATCTCCTGGTTGTATAGAAATGGCACGGTGTTCGTTATTGTTTTTATTAGTCCAGATCACTCAGTTCGTGAGAAATGGCAGTAAATTGTATTCCATATCCACACAAAAATTTGAATAATTAATGAAATTAGACAAAATCCTGACTGGAACATCATTCGGTTGCTATGACATTAAGCAAAAGTAGCTTAGCAATTTGAAGTCTTGCAGACTGTGAGACATTTATTGTCTAAATCAAAAGAAGACTGTTACATTAATAACTTTTTTTTACTTTTGTGAGGAATTGTTGAATTTATGGATAAAGAAATAGTGCAAATATTTATAAAGCATGCTAATTATCAACAAAAAAAGTCAGGAAATTGAGAATAAAAAACAAGCAGCTTTTGATCTGATGTAATATTAGTAGGGTTTGCCAGAGTAAATGAAATCAGCAATGCATTAGTTCTAATCTAAAGCTATTCAGACAGGTAAAAATCGTACATCTTTGTAATTGGAACTGCTTGAAACAGATTTACCGAAAAATATCATAATAAAGGAAAATAAAAATGGTTTTGTCTAATGGAATTTTTGAGAAGGTTCTTTGCATGCAGGCAAATGGATGATCAGCTGCCTAGCAACAGTGCTGCTTCCATTATGTAATCTCTAATGATCATTAAGAATTGAACAGCTTCTTTTTAAACTCATTATCTTATGAGGTCTTTGGGGGGAGAATTTCATCCTGAGGTAATTTTTAGGGTGATATACATTCAATCTTCTTCCTTTGATAGATTAAAATGCCAGACCTGTTGCTTTCCTGAACGAGTAATAAAGTTCCACAGATCATTGGAATGAATTGTCACCAGGATGTAATTCAGTTTATAATTCCTATTCCCTATTTAATAAGTATAGAGAATAGAGCTTGTGTCCATTTCCACACCAATAATGGACAAGACGACTGATAGATCAAGGAACTGTCAGTTTGAGTTCGGAATTGCTAGAGTTGATAGAAAAAGAAAATCAAATTATAGATCTTTGGGTTCAGGTCCTTGGTTTGGTAATTGAATTGGACATAGGAAATATAAGTAAAAAATTCCACAGTTCCATCTTGAACGTGTTGACGTCTTGAATGGCTGTCAGTGTAGGAAATGCAATAAAGTTTCTGGTTCCCTCCTCGTCACCAACTGATGGAAAGATTGTCCAGTCTGACATTTTTTGTCTCTCTCCAGATTTTAATCTACTGATTATATCAGAAAGAAAGGGAAACACAAAGATAAGACATTGATCTATGGTGCAGAAAAAAAACTGTTGGGAAAAAAATGTTGTCATGTTGTTGAAAATGTGTAAACCAGACCCTAAATATGTGCACTAATTAAGATGAAATTTATGGACAGAGATATCCAAGATGTGCAAAAAATGGAAAGGTCACTAAGAGCAGATTAGTGCTCCAGGTGTTTACTGTAGCAGATAGAGAAAAAGTCAGGGAATGGGTGCTGATGTCAGTTGATCAAAGGTTGTCATGGGTTCATCAGATGGTAATCGGAACTGTAGATTTTTGACATGTCTTAGGATTGCCTTGATCCTCCTAAAGCTGGCTCATGCTTGTCATCAGGTGAGTCTTCCCGAGATTGGGAATTAGAAAAAACTGTACAGGATTGTGGAGGTCCCTGTCTGGCCATCATCTGTCTTCTAATGCTGATTCAAGGCTTTATCAATCACTTGTACTTTGAAGATGGTTAACTTTTGTGTTTTCACTCAGTATAAGTCAGTTTGTTTTTATTCGGAATTCGGATTGCAGGTGGTAAAGAGACTTGGAATATCTCTGAAATTTACTCTTAAGAGGCCTGTACTTTGTATAGAGATGGGCTTTTGAAAATGATAGAAAGTGATTGTCTGTCAAATTACCTAGTAATGTATAATAGATAAAGTCTAATTTACAAGAAATAGGGTGGCATGGGTTTGTTGTTCAAAACTGTCAATGATAAATGAAGGGTTCCTATTTACTAAGTAAGTGCAAAGAGCAGGTGCTTTGTCAGGAAGATGGGATTTCAGTCCCATCATTCTTTCATTTGGCTTCAAAACATTCCGAATTAAGTAAGAATTAAAGAGACAGCTTCAAAGAGATTTCTAATTTAAGAATCCCTACAGCAGAAAAACCCATTATGTCTGGAACCCTTGTACAGCATACATGAAGAAACCTAGCTAATCCCCTCCTTGGAAGTCTTCACCAGTGACCAATGTCCAATTTGACAGGAAAACTGTGAAAACTCCCAGTCAGCTTTGATATTCCAGATGTAATTATATCCCTGAAGCTATGCAGATTATACTGCAATTAAAACAGAGACTTGACAGAGCAGGCAGGGTACACACTGTGACCTGAGCTGACCTTGGATCAGGGTCCTGTGGCTTATGATAGCTTGGGCTTCACTTTATGACATCTACAGCTGCTTCATGATCCTCCATCCTTGACGATGCCACAGCTTCAGGCATATCCTTTAATTTCTCTATGTTACATTTTATGGTCTCTTTTTTGCGTCTTTATGAGATTTGAGCTTTTATTGATACTATGTATGTTTTTCGTATTAATGCACATTAAGGTATGCAATAAAAGAGGAATTGATTTTCTGAATGATTATCTTTTTCTCTCTTTCAAAAAAAATCTGCTGTCAGCAAAGTATTTGCTAGATATTTGATCATAACAGTTTTGGATGAACACAGACTACTTTGAGTGTTTGCTTTGCTAATACCCTGTAGATCCAAATGGTTTATTTATGTGCTGTGGACCAATGCTGGCAGTCAATACAGAATCTGTTTTCATGGAAACACAATAGATACACATCTAATGGTTTTGTCTCTTTATGTCACCCTTAGCTGAACTTCCAATCAGGTAGATAATGAAAATCGATCACTGTGTTTTCAGAAAAGCTTTATTAAGTACCAGGAAGCAAAATTATCTCCCTTGTGTATATTAAAAAAGAAAGCAAAAAGCTGTGATATTTTGATCCAGCAATAATGATGGTGTCAGAAGTTTGAATCAACCAGAGGTTTTTTTTCACACTATACTTGTCACCCCTGGCAGCCTCAGTGATCTGGCTTACTGTGATATATCATCATCAGTAACACCTCTCACGATACTCTCAGTACATACATTGATCCCAGAGGTTCCCCGCAGTCCCCCAAGTACAGCTCAGCATCAGCCTGCCTGTCGCCAGAAGCCGTTAGCTGGAGTGCTATAGTGATTTGTAAGTGTACAGGGGGACTGAATGATAGATGATGGTAATTACCGGTAAATATAGCCGTGTGCTCCCCTTGGACAGACCTTCACAATCCAATACATCCCCCTAATGGATGGGTCTGGAATTGTGGGTAAATATAGTCTCGCTGGGTCATCTTCTTCCTGAAAACTCATCACCCAACATTTCCTTGACAGAGGGTGGCCTGATTACCGGATAAGATGTATGTGGTATTGCCTGTACAGTCCACTTAGCATATTATCAGGGAATGTGAGACATTAGAAAGTCAGCTACATTTAATTTCCTCTTGAAGGTTTGTTCAGGTCTAAAATGAAAGGCTGCACGAATTGCTGGAAGACTCAAACTGTCATAGTTTCCTGTTCATGTACTAATTGAATTGCGCTGGGTAATATCATATTATCCAGTTCCCATCAGTGAAATCCTTTAGGTTTTTGTTTAGAATTGAGAGTTTATAATGTAGGTATATTTATGAGGGCCATTTGATACGTGGAGACAGATTATGGCTTGTTGGGATTCTGAAGGAAGTGTGATTTAATAAACAGAGTCTGAGCCAGATGGCCGCCCCAATGTCTTGATGAACATTAATTCATGATATTGAGGAAAATTAAGGCTAAATTTTTTCAATTTTCTGCCTCACTATTTTATTCTTTTTTGATCCCTGTGGATGGAGTAGAAGTAAGACTGAGATTCTCACTTGAAACCAATGAAGACTTCACCGAGTCTTATGTCATTATTTTTTTCAATCCACCGAAATCTTTCTTTTGGCACATGGCAACATTTCTTGTTTACTTTCCAATAAATTGAGATTTATAACACTTCTGGAATTAGTATTTCATTAGCAGGGCTCAATGTGGATGTGATACATCACCCAGGGATCTGTTTCTTAATACATTAACCTGTATTGCATTCTGCATGTTGTCTAAGATAGAGATTTCTTAGGTAAAGCAGCGATTTGGAGGGACTTGAAGAGTAAACTTCCCACTCTTTGGCCCCTCCTGTTCCCCATCACACCAAGCATCCTAATGACTAAGGCCTCATCAGCTCCCACAGTTAAAACAAGTCTTGCTTTTTTTTTTTCCTTTTCTTTTTGAGAGCTTTAATTGATATTCAGCAGTGGGTAATTGGTCTGTCAAGTATGGTTAACACAGTTTCTGTGAAAAACTGGTTCTGTTTCCCATATTTCCCTCCTTCCTTTGTATATTTGAAGGAAAAAAGCATAAATTCTATCAGATATGAAAATAGATTGATTTAAGTGAAAACCCATGTCGGCATGATTAAAGTTCTTCAAAAAAGAAAGGCATTTTTAAGTCTTAGTTTAATAAACATTTATTTTAGTTGTTGTTTTTCATACAATATAAATAATTTTTTGGTAAAATATGTTTTCCTTTGGGATTATGAAGTGTTATGTCAAATTGATGAGGGGAAAATAATTCTGGTTAAAATTTTTATTGTCACGTTCGTATTTATAGCTTTTTTAGCACCTTTTGTATGAGAAATGATAATGGCAAAAAACCTCTTTTTTTTCAAATCAAAGAAAAAGAATATACATGATGTGGCATTACTTATCAGGAAAGATGTCACACTAAATCTTATTTTTAAAATTTTTTTTTTACAGAATTCGGAAGGAGAAAAAAGGTGGCGCATGGTGTCCCAAGGAGATGATTGATAAATTCTCTTATGAGTATCTACAGATAGATCTCAATAAACTGATGGTCATCACTAAAGTGGAAACACAGGGCCGATTCGGAAATGGTTTGGTAAGTTTCACCACGGGAGAAAGAGTTCTTTAGTAGTGAGTCTGATGTATTTTATCATTAAAAGTGTGAAGGATGAGTATATTTTGGGAACTTTTGAACATTCTTTCATTAATCTTCTCTCCTGCCACATGCCTGCTGTAATATACAATCCGTCTTTTATTGAAAAAGAAAATAAAGTGCGAATTTGAAATATTTGTTTTGAAGGCAAGTTCAAATGAAATTCAGACTTTCCGAAAAAGCAGCTCTTGCTGTGTAGGCCTGGAGATGGGATCTATTTATATAATAGGTCATTCTTATGACTGACACCTGTCAATTCTGTCTTAGCACCAGACAAGAATCGAATACCCTTAATTTCATTACACAAGGTTCTCATCTGTCTTTGGGACCAAAAACCCAATAATGTCGGCATTCAAGAAGAAAAACCAAGAATCTTTGGTAGTGAAAGCCAAGTTTCCAAGAGTTAATTAAATCTTGAAGCTTTTTTCATCACTATCGATTTTTGTTTAATGATGGAGATTTTTGTGGAGCTTCTATTCTGTCTATGTTAGATCAAAAGAACTTTATTAAATGGGAGAACTGATTGGTACTAAAAGCAACTGGGAATACTTCTAATTCAGTTGATACCTCTGGTCATAAAGCAGTAACTGGGTGAAATCGATAGTGAGGGTTCTTCCATTTTCAATAAAAAATATCAAGTTTTAGATGTTCTTAATGATCTGATACAATATAAAAAAGGCATTATTAAAGAAGTGCAAAGTCGTAAATCAGTACTTTTGAAAATGTCATCAGACTTTGGAACCAGTTCTGATGTCATCAAAATAGGTTTAAAAGGATGAGAACCGGCAATAAAAAATCCCACCCAAAATATCTTATTTATTTATTTTTTGCATTTTAATCAGTCCTTGCCAAACTGTTTCACTGAGCATTGACGAAAATACAAAAACAGTTGAAATCGAGCCTCGATAAATAAGAACGTGACATAGTGTTGAGTGAATCTTCCCTGACAGGTAGAAGGGATAAGTAGTTAATGTATTGTCAGTAATTGGTGACATCAGGGAGTGTGTCGCTCTGGGTAGGTGTCTACTGTTACACAGGGTAAACTTAGCAGGGATTTATTGCAGGCAAGATTACAGGACAAATCCCCCATATAAACCATGCAAATTTACCAGCTCATTCAGAAAGGCAATTCGCCCCTCATTCAGGTTTTCGGCAAAGTTATAAATTTTCTTCTCACCAAATAAGGAAATTTTTATGTTTAGTTCTGAAAACCTTAAGTTAATGATTCTGTTCTAACTTATTTATTCCTCCCTGGCATTTTTTAAAAGTCTTTGCCCAGAAATGTATATGGGTCGAGGAAGATAGAATGCAGCATTTGTTTTCCATGGCTGCAGGGCAATATGGCTGGACAATCCCATGTTCCATAATAATCAGCTGATTGCAGCCTGTGTCAGAAATTCCCTCCCTATCATTTCTCCCTTATCGCTTTCTCTGTTTCCCTTCCCCCAAAAGATTAGCTTTAATTGCTGCCGTTGTTTTTGTTTGATAAGAAGGCTCTAATGGAGCTCCCCCTCTGCCCTCGACCACTGGTCAGGTATCATACAGATATCACAGGGGAGGCAACCCTGCATGTCACTGATATCGTCCAGGCATGATAGCAGTCACCTGCCCTTTGGAATTTTAAAAAAATATTTCACATTTGGTTCAAAGGGTTATGAATGTAAGTTAGAATTATTGTTAAATATTAAAATAGAAATAACACGTTCCAGCACATTATTGCTGATCAATACCATAGTAATGAGAGGAGATCTGATGGATATTCATGTATCATGTCAATGATCATCTACTACATTGATAATCAAGCATACCAGGGTTTCTCTGATTAAATCCACATTCATTGTACTGAAAACTACCTCATTTTCATCCTATTTCATATAAAACCGATACATGAGGCATCTTTATTAAAAAAAAAATTACTGTCTCCTATAAGATGCAATAAGAGTGAAATGACTGAAGCATGCTTTATTGCATGGCTTTAATGCTACAGTGGTTGCATCCTATACAATCTCTCGGAGAATTCATTAGACTAGATTTTCTGCCTGGATCTATAGTGTATAGACATGATTCTGTGTGATCTCTGAAATGTAGCATGCAGAATCCAGAGGTTTTTTGTACGGCTCCCATCAGAAAACTGAAGGAATCCTGGGTCCTACACGGCTACCAGATCGGTAGAGAGCTGTGAAAGAAATCACAGAGCCCTGAGTGATAGATTCATTATTTTTCAATATTTTTTTTTCCAAAGTTCATCCGTCGGTCATAAACAACCCACAATGGTTTCATAAAGAGGCAGATATGTTTTATTATCAGCAAAAGATGGTATTGATGAAATGTTAGCTTATGAAAATAGTCTTTTTATCATACTTCAAACACGAGCTATTGTTCATTAGTAAACAAAAATTGCAGGAGAAATTTCTCGTTACATGAACTTCGAGAAATTGAGGAAGCATGAATAATGGCAGCCATAAAATATGCATTTTAATCTTTAAGTTACTGTGGCAAGTTAATGAGACTGGAAATTTCTCAGAAAAAAAGGATGTGCATGTGGATTTTATAGTCCTCTTCATAAATTTTGATTCATGAGTTAGTTTAATGGCAGCTGGTCAGATAACATTCTCTATCCTGAACCTGCAGGCAAAAGTTGCTAAAATGTTGATATTTTAGAGACAGTCTAGACATTATCATCAACCCCAACTGCCCTGACACTGAAAGGAGAATCATTCTTAAATAGAGTCACTGTCATAAACCAAGTGTATCTTAGAACCTCCAATTTCCACTGTCTACTGATAGTATAGCCATCTCATTATAGAAGTTGTAGTTTATTTTTGGGGAGTTGACATTTTGATGGGATTAGGCTACCCTGTCATTGGGAACTAGTCAGAGACTGGGTTTCAGAGGGCTTTGTGTCAGACAAGAATTCAGTTAATTCTATTATATGAAATTTTACTGCCTTCTCTGTCTTGTAATTAGTAAGGTGGCTGCTAGCGAAATTCTGCTTGACTTGTTCCCAATTTTCCTACCCATAAATTTCTTCTTCCCCTGCAATTCAGTACTGTATTACAGTTGTGCAAGCAGCCATAACAATTTTTTTCCTGATTTATAGAAGAACAGCTTAGATTGATAAATATACATACTTTGCATTGTAGACACAATTCTTTGCTCCCATTGGAAAAGAATGTAATGGCATCATTTTATTACTCTGTCAACTTTCTCCAAGTAACATTTTTAGATCATTCAAATCAAATTAAGACGAAGAAGCCGTAAAATCATATAACAGGAAGAGAAATTTATTACACAGACTCATCACCCAGAAATTAGTAGGAAAAAAGAATTATCTTTCAAGTAATTAGTGTAGAAAAAGCTGACATGAGAAGTATCATTAGGTGTAACAAATTGTATCAACTTATTTTTTGACTCTGTTTTTCCAGGGACAAGAATATACAGAAGAGTTCCTCCTGGAATACCAGAGAGAGGATGACGGGGAATGGATCCGCTTCAGAAACAGGCAAGCAAAAGAGGTATGTATCAACCCTTGTGTTACATCTGAATGGCTCAGAATGCAAACAGCCATATCGTGTATTGGTTTGTATATTTAGATAGAGAGGCAAAAAGTCTCTAAATGTATGGCATAATAAAATTACACTCCCCTGAAGATGTAACCCCTTGCCAGACATTTAGAACTCAAGAATGGGAAAATGTCCTGTGGGTTTTATGTCGGAAAAAGTGAAACCTGCACGGAGATTTTTTGGGGTGAGTTGTTGTTTAGGATGATTAACCAAGCTTTTTGTGATGGGGGGGAATGAAATGAGTTCTCATTGTCGCTGTAGTTTATCAGCAGGATTAAAGTGTGGGCAAAACATATGTTCCCATCAGGTATCCCAAAACATGGCCATAAAATACACAAACAAGAGTAGATAACTGAGGAATCGGCTCAGAATTAAGACGCAGACATCCCCCTCCCTGCCAAGTTATCCCTTGACATTAAAAAATCACAAACAGTAATCTCTGAAAATGAATCTCTTTTGCAGATCCCATTAATTTTAGAGGATTATTTATGTTGTGACTTAATCTGCTTGGTTTTGTGGTTCATCTAACAATGCTCACATCTTATCCCATCAAAAATCAGGCTTGTCTGATGTAATGATACTTTTGGACCGATTCTTCTCAGAGGAAAAGGAAGTTTTGAAGATGCCATTATCAGGAGAAGGATCAGCAATGAAATATTCAAGCAAAAAAGTCTGGCTTATTTCCCTTGCAAAAATAGACCAGGATATCACAAGATTTCCTGAGATTTTCTCAAGATATCTTGGTTAAAAATCCCAGGAAATCTCAGGATTATCCTGGTACCTGACCTCAGGAATTGTCAGGATGGTATTGGAACAAGGATTTCTCAGGATTTCACAGGACATCCTGGTAAAGCAAAATTTCCTGAGAAGTCTTGAGAATTCCTGGGACCACAATTATCCTGACCTCAGGAATATTGCACATGTTTCATGGTAGTACAAAAATCCTGGGATGTCTTGAGATTTCCTGGGAATACAATCCTGTCATCATCCTGGCCTCAGGAATTTGACTTTGTAGTGTAAAAATCCTGGGATATCTTGAGATATTCCTGAGATCAACAATCCCCTTATTGTCATAATGACCTCTGGGATTTTGTCACTTCTTTCAAAAACAGGTTCAAGTTCTCAAAATGCATTTAAATATGGACAATGTCCCTCTGTACACTAAAAAGACAAAAGAATTATTATTTATGCAAATTATTCTTTAATCAATTTTTTTCTTTGGAACTTAGTCTTTTATGATGCAAGGAATGGTGATTAAACACTGACTCCAGGGATGCATTCTGTTATTAGGCCTGTAAAGTATTAAATTAAGATATTTTATTATTCAAAACAATTAATCACAATAATGTTTATATTAATGGTCAAAATTAAAAAAAAATATAATATTTTTCATAGTTCAGTTGGTCATGAAAGACCAGTCAATAAAAAAAATCATACGCATCAATATTAAATAAGAAAATTACACTGAAAGAAATAAGATAATATATATAAAATAGTACTGCAGTGAGCTGTGTACTTAAATGATGTACATTTGACCATGTTTACATATAGTTCTTAAAAGAAACTACAGAGAATTTGCAAGAATTGTTTAGGAAAATGTTTGATCATAAATTAAAAACTATATATAAAACAATAATTACATGATGTCATGATGTAATCCATGTACATTTATTTTACACATGTATTGTATTTACTGATAACATACTGTATTTATATCTAAATTAAGTACTAATTTATAATTAACACAGAGGTTAAGATACTATGCTATATAATCATAGTAATCTGAAATGAGGGATGGAAATACAAATTTAAGCCCATGCACTTACCCTTTTCTTAACATTCTTGAGTACATGACCAGCAAATCTTTGAAATTTTCCTCTCACTACATCCAAGTCATTCGTATCTTCAATATTTCCTCATCTCATGGACATAGACACAATTAACATTTAAATGTTGACATCTAGTTCAATATGGTGATGACATGTTGTATTTCCCAAAGCATTTTCACTTCTTTACTGTATAAACACTTTCATGTTCCTCACAAACATTTCGGTTTGCATTGAAATTTTGAACTGGTCTGAGAAGGCGCACAAATCCTGACTGGCTCTCCTCATTGGATACTGCCCTAGTTTAAGTAACTGTGGGGGACACAACAGGTTATTTAGGTTGAGGAAAGCGCTTGCAAATTGCTGGGATGAAGATTAGAAGGTCAATAAATTAAAGAAACTCCTGCCTGGCCCCCAATCATTCGTGATGCTATCATCAGAAAGAATTAACACCTAACACATGGGCAATTGTAATGAAGGGACCACATAGAGATATTGAGTCTTGACTTCAGGATATTCTAGGACTTTGAATTGAACAGTCCTGATCGCAAGATATTCCAGGACTTATTTGATTCAGTTTGTTTTAGTTCAGAAAATATCAAAATTCCTGAGATTTCCTTGTGTCAGGACTTGATCTCTTGTAAAAGTCCTGAAAAATCCTGGGAAGATTCTGTTCTGGTGAAGCATTCACATAAAGTCCTGACATGTCCTGATAAAATCCTGAACCTGATTTTGGAGAGCAGGACATGTCAGGATATCTCAGGAAAATCCCAGGATATCCTGACTTCTCCTGACCCTCCAGGATTTATTTTTGCAAGGGTAGCAGTTGATAAATCAGTATTGCATTTCTGGAACGAATGTTGGAGTTAGATAATTTGAATGTTGAGTTAGATAATTCTGATTCATGGGGGATTCTGTCTCTGTGCTCTCTCCAAATCAATGCCCCCAGGGGTGATCTTTGTAAAAGGGAAACAGGGAAACTGCTGATTGTGAAAAGGTCAGGTTGATTTTCACACATCTGCCCCCTTTACCCAGTCTCCTTCTGTTTTCTACCATCAATCAAGCAACATGCACATAGTTCACCATCGGAGCTCTAGATATTCAGAACTTTTGGTTCACACAACAGCAGAACACTGTTGTTTTTTAAACTAATCTAATTTAACTCCTTGTTGACTATAATGGGACATAAAATTTGTTGAGAATGCTTTCAAAGAGATAACAAAAGCATAAATGAGGCTTAATTGACTCCAAAATATCCCCATCATATTGATAAAACTATCTACTTTGCTAATTAATTGCTATTGTAGTTTAAGAGTGCTGTTTATTTTTTGCACTTGGAGATGAACTTAAAATTAGCAGAGAAATGGAATCTTTATGCATTGTTTATAAAATTTATATGTAAAGTATATTCGTCTGAGTGAAAGCATTTGACTAAATTGTAGTTATCTTTTCTTCCCACATATTTTCTTATCGTACTGTCCTGGTGAATATCAGATCAATGAATATTTTATTTTAAATCATAAAAGTGAATAAATTAATGAGCTTAACACACAGAAAAAAACACAGAGATTATTTGTAGAAGTACTGTATAATTTCAATGCCTTTTTTCTTTGCAGCACTTCAAAGCTAACTATAACACCCACACAGCAGAGATGAATGAAGTGTCGCCTCCGATCATTGCCAAGCGGGTGCGCTTTATCCCCTACAGTAAGACTCCGCGCACTGTCTGTATGAGGGTAGAACTCTATGGCTGTACGTGGGATGGTTAGTATGTTTTATGAGAATATTACGCTTGTATGCCGAACAAAGAACCCCAATCCCCCACTTTTGTGAAAAAGCAGAAAGAGGCCAACAAAAAAATGTCAGTAAACTCTGGAACATTTCATGTCTGTAAAATTATCTTAATTATCGGCTTTTACGTATATCTTCAAATTCTATGATTTCATGACTTTTGACCAGTGCTGAAATAAAACTACAAGGTATTCTTTGTCTAGAACTGGGGTCAATGAATCTTAAGAGAAGCTGTTTTCATTCACTACCCCCAAGAAATTTGAATTCTCACAAACAAATGTTATTTCAAACTCGCATCAGTGTCAATCACTGAAACTCTATTTTGACAAACACACATCTGATTTAGATTCCTTCACATGTAAAATCTCTTCAGAATCTCATTTTCTGGGATTTTTTTTCCTAATTCTAAGATGTTATCAGGTCTAAGTTTAATTATAAAGAGCCACTGGTCATAAGTCATTGGTCAAACTTTTTTTTCTTTCTTTTTTTTTTACCTTACGAATGTTTTCTGGCTCCATTTCAAGCATTAGAATGAATTGTGCAAGTGAGTGGAACGTTTAGTTGTAAGACAAATTACCCACAATAAGAACACTGTGTTCGCCCCCTATTCTCCCCGGCGAGTTAATTGGATTTTTCTTTCACTTCATTCCAGAGAAAAATTCTAAACTTTTTCCTCTCAGTAGTAATATTGCTTTGAAATGGGAAGGAGCAAAAATTCCTTTAGTATGTGCTGTGCCGGGGTGTGAGAAAAAATGAAAAAAAAATGACTGGTATAACTCAAGATTAACATCATCACTGTGGCTTAAATATGAAATGGAAGTAGTTAATGGTCATTTAAAATACTTGATCAAGATTAGTTTGATTAGAAGTTTAGGTTTTGACTGCTGATGTTAACCCATGTGTTTCCTTATCCCATTATTAAAGTGTGTATAGATTGCCAGTGTTCCATTGTTTGGAGTCATATGTTTATTTTAATTAAGATGAGATTTCCTTGCTGGCAATAGTATTTTTTCAGTGATTTTTTCACCCATTCCTCCTCTAATCACTGTCATTATGAGAACTTTCTGTTGTTATTCTATCCTGAAATTAGATGATAACGAACGATGAAAGAAAAAAAATAAATGATAGATTGGCATCAACTGACAATTTAAGTAATTTGGAATTCAGGGCTTATCAGTAGAAATGGTTATGTATAATTGGCCAGAATTTCTACTTTGTTGTTGTTATGTCAGTACCTAGGGCGATGGATTCTAACCATCATTTTCCGACTGACACAAATTCAGGATGTTGAAAAAATTCTCAAATAATTCATGATGTACTTTAGGATTCTCTTCCCCTTTTTGCAATCTTTTTTGTCAGATGTCAACAATCCTTCCTCTTGTTTGTTGATTTAAGTCTTTTGTTATCTTTTTAACTCTACATTTATTGCTAACTTCTCTGATAACTCTTTGGCAAAATTTCTTCATCTGATAAGAGGTTCTAAGTTATGTAAATTTTGAATCTTAGATTTTCTTTTTTTAGACATAAATTTGAATTTATGATCAACCTGTGTTATTTTTATGGAAAAAAGTGTTTATAAAACATTTTTAAAGAGGAACCTTTGCCCGAGTTTTTTTTTTTTTTTTTCTTTAGCTAAAGAGCTACATATATGTCAAGAGAGATAACTCCAAAAAAATTCTTTAACTCAAAAATGTGATGCATGAACAGAAAAATTGACAAACATAGTGTTTTTTGCATATTAATCCATGCAAATTTTATTCAATTCCTGAAAGGTTTCAGAACCAAACCCGATGAAGTATAATGGTCTCAAGCTCCAAAAGTGAATGTAGGCAGACCAAAAAATTTTGAAACAATCTTTGAAAATATTAATAGAACATATTTCTCAATTTTGCATGCTCTTGTTGAATGTTCTTGACAAGTTTATGCTAAACATAAAACTACTGTGACCTCAACATGCATGATAATTATATAAGTATTGATAACAATGAAATGGTAGATACAACTTTCATTTTTCCAGCACTTATATTGTGCTGTCTTTTTTTTTGGTCTGTGAAGTTACTTGTCATACCTTTGCCATACTAATAATTTTCATAAAATTTCACTTTATGATACAGATATCTTTAAAAAAAACACATGATTTTTGACTCATAGTGTAACTTTAATTTAGACTGAAGTTATTTTTTTGTTTTTTGGTCAAATCAATTGCTCAATAAATATAATAATGTTCTTGTTTATTTCTTTTAAAGATGGTGTCTTGTCCTACTCTATGCCACAAGGAGACAGACGAGGAAAACACAGTTCAGATGAGTTAGCTTTCCTGGACTTTACTTATGACGGAATCATCAAGGACCAGCACTTATATAATGGTATAGGTCAGCTAATGGATGGAGAAGAGGGGCAGGCCAACTTCCGCAACGACCTGCAGGCCCGGGGGATCAAGGGTTATGAGTGGGTGGGGTGGAAGACAGAACAATTTGAGGATAGCTCCCCCATTGAAATTGTCTTCAAATTTGATGCTGTAAGGAACTTCACCAGGCTCAACATACACTGTAATAACTTTTATGATAAGGATGTGCGAATCTTCAGAATGGCACACGTATACTTCAGCGTGTCTGGAATATACTACCAGCCTAACTACATCGAGTATGAGTTTGACAGGGATTCTTGGATGGAATATGCCCGCACCATTCCCATTCACCTGGAAAACAGGGTGGGAAAGTATGTGAAGGTGCAGCTGTTCTTTGACAGCAAATGGATGCTCATCAGTGAAGTTTCTTTCATATCAGGTAATATTTCAAATATTGTTAATTAATTTTTTCAGTGAAATTTCATACCAGTATGCATTTTGTTGATTTCAGCTAGAAATTTAAAAAAAATATGAAATATGTGAGATTAATGATGCATTTTATTTCATCAGAAATTACGAAAGCCAATGTTACCATGGAGCTTCCACCAGTAACCCATCCAATGAAGACCACCAGAGTACCCCCTAGTCACAATGATATGCCTGTAGACCAGGGTATCAATGTGCAAATTGGCAAAGGTAATAAATTTTTTTTTATTGTTAAATTAGAATACTGTATAGGGCTGCCACGAATCAGAAAATTTTCGAATCGATTCGGTTCAAACAATAACCTCGATTTTCGAATAATTTCGGTTCGATTAGAAGAAGTAGATCTTTTATTTATTTTTTGTATAAAATCTGTAATGTTTGATCATCATGATCATAAGACATTCTGATAAATTATGATTCATACTTTTATAAGGTTTATTAAGATAAAATGGAATGTAAAGTCAAGAAAACAAAGACAATACCTATTATGTTCGAATTACAAAGTATGACCCAAGAATCAAATATCTGAAATTCAAATTATTAAAGATACTGGTCATTGGTTTTAAAAGATGAAAAATGCAAACAAATTTTTCAAACAAAACCAATATGATTTCATATTATGTTAAGCATAAAAGTATTGGTGATATGCTTACAAAGTCTATTTGACCACAATAGAAACGGTTAGATCACTGCTGTAATTTGAATTTTTGATTCACCAATACAATATCAAACCACATAACTCACTGTCATAACAAGAATGTCAATAATTAATTTCACATTCAAAATGATGTCAATTTTATAAAGAAATAAGGAAATTTGCAGCACTGTGTAGGTACAGCAAATGTTAGTATGAAAAAATCAAACCTGAATCGAATCGAAATCCCGGAAAAACATACCGAATCGAACCGAAAGAATGTGAATCGCTGTTAACCGATATTTCGGTTAATCATGGCAGCCCTAATACTGTATTATTAAAATAATTTGAAAACGTAATATTCTCAATTGAGTTTGCTTGCCCCTTTGAAAAAGTAGGGGATAGGAGGGAGGGATAAGGGAAACTTGATAACAATATGACTATAGTCCCTTTCTTTAGCAGTGTATGGCAATCCTAGTTTGCAGATATTTTAAATGGTAAATGATATTTTATAAGATTGAGAAAAAATGTTAGCAAGAATATACTTTATTCCAGCAGGGTCAAAACATGTGGAGGATAGATCAGTCCAGACTAAGGAAGCTACAACAGAGAACGACATGATCGGCATCATCGTGGGTACGCTGTCAGCTCTCATCGTCACGCTCCTGGTGGTAGCCGTAATCGTCATTATCCTGATCCGCCACAAGAGGAGTAAACAGAACAACAACCGCCACTGTCTAAAACCTGTGGAGCGGCACATCGCACTGAATATGAACAGCATCCGAAACATGCAGAACGGCAAGGTCTCCAATGGCAATATGTACAACAGTGTGGCTCAGGATGAAATGGAATCGGATCGGGAGATCTGTAATGGAGGAGAGAAACTATGTAAGAGTCCATCGTATTGTGAGCCTCAGGATTCTTTGGTCGGGGGGCGGGACCTGCCAGATTTGCCCGGGTGTGCGGCAGGGAGTTCTGGTATCATTACAGTGGCATGCCTTTCTGTAGCCTCTATATTCATATAGTTGTATCATCCTGGGTATTGGGTCTTTGCTTGGTCTCTTGAATGATATATATTTTGTACCTTTATATTGATTTGTATTCTGTCATACAAATCCTCTTTGATATTAGTATTGATATGTAAACTAATACTTATAGGATCCTAACATACATTATTATAGAAATTTAAACCCATGCATTGTGAGAAAGTTTACTTCTAGATGTGTTTTATTTGAGTGATATGGTTATGGTAGGGAGGGGGTATTATTGACTAGAAAATATTAAAAATAACTTTTTCCTTTAAAGTACCTTGAAAATAGTTCTAAAAGACCATTGCTTTTTATAATTTATATTGATAAGTATTTAATGGTAAGGAATCATTCTATTGTGCAAAAGCATGTTCAATGTTAGCAGTAGTATATCTAGATTTATTGGGCTACAATAATGGTAATGTGGTAATTGCTTCAAAACATAGCCATGGCTCTTACCATTTCTGCTGGCTGCCATTGTAAGACTTCCCATTGTATAAAAAGCTTTCCAATTTCAAATGAAAATAAATTTTAAAATGATTTGAAAATCTCATGGTAAAAAAAATCACTTTTGTGGTTTTAAATGTGACATCTATTAGAGTTTCATGTTTTTGTACCATTACTTTATACAGATTCCAGAGACTATGCTGTTCCTGATGTGACAAAGTCTGCCTTGATTGTGGCCCTTCCCCCACACACTCAGACCCCAATACGAGTGTCCCCTGCCAACAACGGAACCCCTATCATGATGACCAACTCCCTCTCAGAGAAGCCTCCCACCTATGACGCCCTGTACGCTGCTGCCGACATCGTCCATGTAAACGTCCCTAACATTCCCAATCTACAGGGAGTGAGCGGGAACAATGTATATGCAGTACCTAATGCAGAACTTCTCCTTACCTTGGAACATGCTGTGGTCCAATTCCCACGGGAAAATCTGCAGTTTGTGGATGTTCTTGGAGAGGGGCAATTTGGCGAGGTAAGAAATTTCAAACTTGATTTCAATAGTTCAGGTGGTTTTTCACTAACTCTTGCTTGTTCATTAAAAGATGAAAATCTGTATAGTCATTCACTTTATCCAGTCAATACTATGAAACTTCATTTGTGTTTCTTTTTATCCTTAGGTACATTTGTGTGAAGCAGTGAATGTTGATGGTTACATAAGTGATGAGTACTTTATGAACAGAGCCAGCACACATACACCCAATGTCTTAGTGGCAGTCAAAATGTTACGACGGAATGCAGATGATAGAGCAAGGTAAGCAAACAATAGCCTAAATTCTATAGTAAAAGTACAATGTTATGTCCACATTTTTTTCTGAGATGGTTGTATATTATTACATTTATATAATCTGTATTCAGGGAATTTACTGACGATTTCTGTATCTTTAAATTCTCTGTTTTGTATTTTGTATGCATATTGTATCAGGTAAAGAAATTGCTCTCAATATTTAAATGTATTCCAACTTTTTCAGAGCGGACTTTCACAAGGAGATTAAGATAATGTCCCAGCTGAAGGATCCAAACATAGTGCGAGTTCTTGGGGTGTGTACTAGGGAGGAACCCCTGTGTATGATTGTGGAGTACATGAAATACGGAGACCTCAATCAGTTCCTGTTAGACCATGTCCCAGAGAGTCCGGTAGCTCAGGCCACTAATGCCAAAACACTCAGGTACGTAGTGAATTTGAGGAAATTAGAAATAAGACAAATTCAACATATTATTATTTTGCCTTTGATATAAAAACTTTAGGTCAAAAAATATTTGAAATAATAAAGATCAAATAGAAAGGAGAAGCATAATAATATATCCTGGTTGTTAATAAATTTTATTTCAAACAAAAACTTTTCTTATAGCCACTTATAATTTTATGTACATAATGTACATGTAATTGATGTTAACATATTTTCTTTAATTTCAGTTATGGCTGCTTAGTTTACATGGCATCTCAAATAGCATCAGGAATGAAATACCTGGAGTCGTTAAACATGGTTCATCGAGATCTTGCCACCAGGAACTGTCTGGTCGGAACGAATTACACGATCAAGATTTCGGATTTTGGAATGAGTCGTAGTCTTTACAGTGCAGATTACTACAGAATAGAAGGACGAGCAGTACTACCAATCCGATGGATGGCTTGGGAAAGCATTTTATTGGTAAAAATCAATGCTGGTTTTCTTGATTTTTGAAAATACTCAAGATTGCAGATTTTATTTGCAATTTACTGAGTTGATGAATTTTACCTCTTGAAAAAAAAAAACCTTTTAAAATACTGTGAAACTATCCCAGTAAATTAATTTTTTGTGTCTTAAGATGTCTGTATATGGCTTAGAGAACAATTATAATATTCACTACATTGCTTTTTAGGGAAAATTCACCACAAAATCTGATGTATGGTCATTTGCCGTGACGCTGTGGGAGATTCTGACATTTGCCAAGGACCAACCATTTGACTCTTTGACCGACGAACAAGTGATAGAAAATGCTGGACATTATTACCGCAACGACAATAAGGAGGTGTATCTTTCATTCCCTCCCAACTGTCCAAAGGAAATATTTGACTTAATGGTGGAGTGTTGGAACAGAAACGAGGCCTGTCGACCTACATTCCGTGAAGTCCACATGTTCCTTCAACGAAAGAACATGGGATACAATCCAAAGGATGAAAAAATGAACCAAATTAAGGTCCCCATTTGCTGACTATATAGCAATTATAGACAGTTACAATGACTTCGGTTTTTCTTGGTTCTGGAGAGTCTCCCGTTATTTCAGTGGATCCTCATTGTAATTTGTGCTTAACAGTTCTAAGTGCTAAACTTGTGATGTGTAGGACACAGAAGGACAAAGGTCCTTTTATGTTGAATGCTAGTCATGTTTTATTCATTGTAATGATGGAAGACAAAAAAAAATGATGCTGGTGAAATTTATTCCATGTCTTTGTGATGGTATGAGGAGAGTGATTAATACACACCAGTTCCATGTATAAATTGTGATTAGTCATGGAAGGAAAAAATTACAAGAATGAATGCCTCATTCTCACATATTTCTGGATCCTCTCCTTTCACAAAGAACATTTTCAAATACTTATATCAGACAACAGGTGCTACCACAATGTTGTGACATATGTTGCCATAGAAATTGTGATGATTATAAAACTCACAGAACTTGATAAACATTCTCAGAATGAAATCCTTTTAGTTTATTGACATACATATATTATTTGATTGTTTCTCACAATCTTAATGATTTCAACAATCTTGATTATGTGCAATGAATCTTTGATGATTTTTAAAATTATCACCATCATACAAATTATTTGTGATTTCATTTTTACCCATTAATTGTATTTCTTTATATTCTTTATCAGTGTATATTCCATGCTGGGTACATTTTTATACTTTCACTTTCTTATTCAGTGTGTTAGTGTTGTAAATAGGACACTGTAATGCCATCCTTTGACCTCTAGACACACACACCACCCAGTGTTGAGTATTGTAACATTTACCAATGTCTCCCAAGTATATTTGTATCTTCCATTCAAACTTGATATTATGTGACAGCTAGTGTACCCTACTTTATTAGTAGACACACTGCATCAATTCGCTGAAGGAAACTCCAAAATAATTTTGGTTTTATTTCTGTTAAAACAATTTTATACTTCTCATGCTCTCTAGTTTCTTCATTGAATATCCTAGGAATGCTTGAGATATTTTATTATGAACTTGTGATGTGATGATAATCTTGTTAAAATCTATTTCTCTCTCTACAAAATATTTTTGTTTCTCATGTTGTAAATACTCTTCATTATAAATCCATCTTTATCTTGCCATCAAAGTTATCATGCAGTTACAATGTTGAATTCAAACATCTTTTTTCTATAAGCACCTGGTTACAGCTTTAAACACTGCATTTCAGAAATATATAATCAATGTTAAAAAGTCTTAGTTAATTTTGCATTCACACATATTTCATATGATATAAATGAAGTGATAAAATGTTGAATTTCATAGAGTTTAAGAATTACAGCTGTGTTGATTGGCTAGTTATTCCCCCTTTTAATCAGTATTTTAAATTTTTTAACCAAAAAATAGTTTTAACTTTACTTAAATTTGCTACTCGAAAAAGCATTATTCATCTTTGTATCATTGTTAAAATTAGATGTATTTTTCACATTTTATTAATTTCAGACAATCGTCTTGAATAGCTTAATAATTTTGCTTCTGATGTCATGTCAAATGCCATATAGAGTTTCATCTCAGAATTAACTTTTTTTTATTCAACATTTTATTCAATCTTCAATTTTATTTAGAACTTTCAGTGACAAGACTTTATTATCAACATATCCTAAATGTTGAACGAAATATCTTGCAGAGATTCGATCTTGGTTGTGAATTAAATTGCCCCATTCTTAGTGATGTTGTTGTCATTAGAAACTAAAGTAAACCTTTGTGGGGCTTTATTTTTATATGGCTACAGGTGTTGTGCGTCTGTCCTTGTATGCATGATATGGCAAGGAGTGCCACACCATGCCCCGTGTGTGCTATAGTCATTTGTCAGTTTTCATCTCGGCCATTTTGATTTTAGGGCTTTTTTGCATTAGATTTATTTTTAAAATATTAAGCGTTTGTAGTTGATGAATGAATTAAAATTATCATTTTGATAATTTTATAAAAAGCATTAGTTTTTCTTATTACTTTTGAAGCAGTTTATTTTCAGGAATTTAAGTCATTTACGAATGTTTTCACAACCTATAGCAGATGGTGCTGTATTTTTTAATTTATGTAATATTGCTTCATTAGTACTTTTGTTTTTGTTATTTATATTTTATCTTTTACTAATGTATACTTGGTGTAAATATAAGCTGTCAGTACTTTGTTTAGCATTATGCAGACAGGACTCCAGTTTAAAGCAGTGACCAGTTTCATTTTTAATGACTGCCCTATTTTGGTCGCTATAATTGCATTTCATTTTTGTCATTCCATTCGGAGCTGTCGTCATTGTTATTAAATCTTTTATGTGCGATGTAAAAGAATGCATTTGTTAAAGGAGTAGTTTGTATTGTATGTAAATAAAACTACAAAAAATGAGTGAAAGTTTTTTTGGGGGGGATGAGCACTTGCTTTTTGATTGGAAAGTCGTGCGTTCGAACCCCAGATGCGACTGAATAAGTCAATGATAAAATAGCTAACAACCGTTCCTTGGACAATCGTTCGAAACTTTGAAGTAAAATTGTCCTTAGTACAGACGTTGCATGACAAAGATCCATCACTGCTCAATTGCACAAAGTGCAGATTAAAGGTATAATTTTTAGGCCTTTTACTTATGTATGGTGACGTCTGTAAGAATGAAAATTTTAGAATGGGAGTAAAACAACATACAATCAATTCATTGTGTCACTCTGAAATATGAAAGCCCAATCACTATATCTATCACAGTTGTGACAAAGATTGATTTTTTTATGGGTCAAGGTCAACGGGCCAAAGTAAAGGAATCCAGGAGAGGGCTTTATAATAAGAAATACACATGTAAATACAAGTTAATTGATGCAAAGCATCAAATCGGCCGCTAACATATTTAACATGTCAAAGAAGTACTTTCACAATTCAAAGCATTCATGCAAGAAAAGAACAGGATATTCGAAGCTGAAATAGTGATGATTTTTATTTCAGGCCGTCTTCAAAGCAAAAAAATAGACAAATATTTTTTTTTAAATTTGATAGAAATTTTAGTATTATGCCTGCTGTTCAATCCAATTTAATGAATAAAATATATTTTTAACTAGAAATTTTAGTGCATTTGCTCATCCAATGGATTTATTTATGTAAAAAGTCTATGACGAATATGCATGGGCATCGGAAGCAAATCGAAAGTGGGGTGGGGGTTGGCTAATTGGAAGGGGGGGGGGCTAAACCAACAAAAAATGGTCAAGCCCATTTTCAATGCCTAAATAATGTATATATTTGCAAAAAAAGTGGGGGAGCTACATATGTAACCCAATCCCCCCGGTTCTGACGCCCCTTTCAAGATATACCACGTGCTGATACCCTGGTTATTTGTCACGTGATAATGCCTGGTTTCTGCAGAGTATGTTGTGCTGCATGGTGCGGTGCAAAAATGTATAAAAATAATCTTTGTGTCATTCGTAGCTGTGGGATTTTCAAACAACTTTTTGCTAGTAGACCAACCTTTCAATTTTTTATTCACCATGCACTTTTACCACGTGCACGTCATTATTATCCGGAAAATCATTACAATTTCCTTTCGTATCTTACACACTCCCTGGATGGGGAGTACCTATTGTAAATTCCTTTTATCTAACCATAAATTATCAATTATCTGATGCAAAATGATAATGAAATTGAAACGAAATAACAACAATTAAACCTTAATTTAAAGCAAGTTTTTAAAATATTTACTTATGATTTTATACATGTTATCATTTGAGAATTATTTTACTGAACTAATAAAATAATAACATCTCATTTCCCCATGTGCACATTCTAACATAACCACAAATAGATCGGCCGCTGCTGCGGCCGATAATTAAAACCCTAGCAATAACTGCTCAAAAGTTAGGGTCAAGGGTAAAACTTTTCAAAAGTAGTAAAAAACTAAGGTCAAATCGAAAGGAAGGGTTTGTCATAGCTAGGGAATACACCTGTTATATGTGAAAGCCATAGGTGTGAGTCACTGTTCAAAAGTTATTTCCAGGGTTAAAGTGGGTCAAACTCTAAGGACAAGGTCAAACATATTCAAATTTATTGAAAATTCCTGTCACAATACACATGTGAAGAATGAAATCCCTAGTACAAACCGTGCAAAAGTTATTGCAAAGGCTTAAGTTTGGTGAATTCTTGCAAAAGTAGGTCAATTCTAAGGTCACTAGTATATTGGTACCCTAAGGAAGACCTGGTCACAAGGAATACACATGTAAAGCTCCAACCAATCAAAAATTAGTAAAAGGGCAAGTTATATTTTTGTTTTCAAAACAGAAGGACGGACAAGGCAAAAAAAAAACAGTATATGCACCCGAATCTTCGATTACGGTGGTGGCCCGCGTGGCGCAGTGGTTAGAGCGTCTAGAGTTGCGAAGTGAGGAGTCGATCCTTACGTCGCGGGTTCGAATCACCCACTGTGGGACATGGAGAAATGAGACTGTATAAACCGAGGTCCAGTGTCGCAGTAGGTGCTGGCACGAAAAAGATCCCTCACTGCTCAGTGGCCGTGATTGCCGAGTATATATAAGGACAAAATTTGTAGCTCTCGATGAGCAAATGGTGGCGTCTCCATATAAGTGAAAAATTCTCGAGAGGAATGTATAAACAACATAAAATCAATCAATGAACCAATTACGTCCACGGGCATAAAAAGAACAGTTCTACCTTAGAATCTAGAGCTATGTGCCTTTGTGATGTCATAATTATCACAGGGTTTGTTATTTTGAAACTTACATTCCCTAAACGGAATGACCTGTTCTTATACTTTTAACTTGGTTAAACAAAGCGTATTTAATTTTTAATCATCCATAGAATGGAAGCACTTTCCAGAAATTTAGCTCATGTTGGAAACTCAGATGCATTTTGATATTTTGTTGATCCTGAGCGGAAGCACCAATAACCCGACAGATTCTTTTACTCCTAACTTGTCTATATTCCATATTGGTATATCAGGCCATCTTTAAAATAATGTTTGCTTTCCTCTCCCGACTCAGTGTAAAATTGTTGGGTCGGTAGGTAGGTGAATTTTTTTTTTCAAAAAATTTCAATATATTTTTTTGACGGAATAAGAAGAATATAAAGTAAAAAAATTGTGTCATGGAATGTGAACAAAATGTTATGAGTCGGGCCATACCGAACTTTTTTTTTTTTAAAGATGGCCTATGTTGTAAATAAACTAGTGGGAGGTAAATTCAAAATCTCTCCCCAGTATTACAGTGTAGAATTCATACCGCATGATAATAAAGTAGTATCAGAAAAAATATTATCCTATAGTCTTTAGCGATGTTTACTCCACCATCTTTCTAGGATGTATCTTTTCCTGACTAACGAAATCTACTGACAAACAGAAAAAAAAATCAGATATGACAAGCAATTTTTAATGACAATATTTCAAAATTGTGCAACAGTTATTTACATTGCAACATTGTAATTTGGATTTTTAAATCATTTTTTGCAAAAGGTGATGAAAATTACAACTTGACTTCATTCTGAAAACGAATAAATTAAATTATTCAATTATTATCAGAATAAATGTGTAGACATATTTATGTTCACTATTAAGGCAATCCAGCGAAACCAGTTTATGTATATGTGGGTCATTTTCAAAAAAAGTCTATTTTTTGAATGACATATTTTGAAAAATGAAAGTGGTTTTACTATGATTTTTTCAACTTTATTTGAATAATATAGTAATAAACTACTAAAATCCACTGCATTGCATAAAAGAAAATATTTCTTTTAAAAAATATTGACATTTTATCTTAGTCATTTAAACTTTAATGTCCTTCCTGTTACTTTCATAAAAAGAGCTGTAAAACTCTATTTCAAAATTTTCATCAAATTACCTTTTGTATACCATTAATAAATGAAAAAATTATCATTGAATGCCAAGATGTTTGACATTCATCTAATATATGAGCGTTTAAAAGCATGTCAAACTACCATATACCAAACAGAAGCAAAATCTATGGGTTTTTCTTCATGAAAAGCCTTATTGCGGAATGTTTATATGCTATAGTTGAAAAAAACATTCTTGTACATTATTTTTGTGATTAGAATAAACAGTTACAGAAAGTTATTTAAACAGGTGCTCTGCCAAAGCAATTTAAACTAGGAAAATATACTGGTAACAGTAAGGACTCGGGTAACAGGAAGGACAAAACAGTAACAGGATGAACAAAACAGTGTAACAGGATGGACAATGAAATCTACATTTTAAATAAAAATTGACTTTTTTTAACTTTATTGGTTAGGAAAAGAGAAATAAATGTAGAATAAAAAAAATGATTTTGTCAAATCTGGCAAATTTGAGACAATAAAAGACATTTATGTCCATCCTGTTACGAAATTTAATTCTAAAGTGCTATTAAAATATTTATCAGTTCAATTTTTGTTTATTAAAGGTACTCTATGCTGTTGCAAAACTAAGAATTTTTCATAATTTTAAGAAAAACAAATGATGAAACTTAAATAGGTATATAAATACCAGGATAATTTGTCCCTCCTGTTACAATTTTTGTCCATTCTGTTACAAGAGTGCATGTTTAAGTTATAATGGCACAATTTGAAGCACTAACTTATTTCAAAATGATTTACGAAGTTTTTTAACATGTGTTATTAAACTTATATTACTTAGAAAAATAAAAGTAATTGTTTTTATTGTTAAAACTCAAGATATGAAGTCCAGTTTTCCTTACTGTTACTATATTAATGGTAACAGGAATGACAGTAACAGGATGGACATTTCTCATATAAATCACCGGTTATTTAGTATAACGTACTCTTTTTGCATTATCAAGACATTGAAACAGTTTCTTTGTAACTTAGTAAATCTGATTGTTTTAGCAGAATAAACAATTTAAAGGGTATTTGCATATTATGAAGGTAACAGATAGGACATATTTTCATTATACTCTACCAATAAGACAAACTTATCGACCTTTGAACCCTTTCTTTACTCACTTTCAAATCATGGGCTCATAAACTTGAGACAACAGAAAATGATGATATATTGTGGATCATGAAAACAGTTCCTAGGAAAGTGAGATAACTTTTATTTTAACATTTTCTTTCTGATAACAGGAATGACATAAACTGGTGGGACATGTCACTTCCTGAATGTTAAAAAAAGTATTTAGTGGGCGGCATAAGTAAAACAATCATATTAAATTAATCTGTAAATGAATTCAATTAAAATGAGGTGCAAAATTTGTACATATCTTCACAGGGTAATATTTTCCCTATCATTTAAATAAGCGCCTTATAAACTTTTTGTTAATGTGACATGGTTTTACTGTTAAATTTTACTCGGAATGCAGAGAATATTTTTTATAAAACACCTGGGAGATGATCATAAAATTACTTATAAGCTATATGACCATGTATATTAACCAACGGGAAAAAAAATTTCACTCTAAAAAATGTTTTCCTATTATTCTGATCAAAAGACAAAAAAGTGGACTTTTTTTGAAAATGGCCCATATATATTCATGATTAGTAGCATGTCTGCACTCTTACTTCTAGTATGGCGTGTTCTATATTGAACAGAATTAAACGCTGTTGAGACGTTTGATCCTCTGAAAATTGTGCAATGCTTTTGACGCAAACTGTGTACCATACGAGGTCAACTTTATCTAGAGTAGATTTGTTCAATGTTTAACGACGAACTAGTACGAACATTTGCTTGATTTTGAAGGAAAAGTGATGTAAGTAAACAAGTACATTTATTTGATTTCAAAACAAAAGTATTGCTATCCATATGGTTATTGTAAGACACAGTTTCTAAATAAAACTTGATTTAAAGAGCAATTAATCTTATGGAAAACCGTTTTGATATTAAATTTGTAAATAAAAAAATATATAATAAAATTAATAAATGAACAAATAAAATAATATACACCGTGAATGAAAGGAAAATCAGCAGCATGTATTTTTTTTAAAAATTATATAATCAGGATTTACATTCAAGGTCCGTAGGAACTTGCATGTACTAACTTAAGGGATACTTTTCTGACTGACTAATGATATATTCTTGTATGACTGATAATAATTGTATTGTTTGCTTGCTTGTCAAAGGATTTCTGCTCGCCCCTTTAAATAAATATTTCTAAAAAGTGCCTAAATTGATAAATTATATATTTGTTGTTACCCGGTATATACCGAATTATCATTACACTCCAGTTTGTAATGATGAATTACACCATACGAAACTTGTCAAATGACGAGAGGGATTCCGAATTCGCCAGTAGAATGATGATGAAAGCTGCTTATGGATTTTATGAAGCGTTATATTCCAGTAGCAGGTACATTTCTATCGTTTCATTTTGAAAGGTAATGTAATAAAAATAATGAATTGCTATTATCCTAACATGCTTTTGTAATATAAACGCACATTTAAGAAAAAAATTTATAAGTACATAAAAAAGCCAATATGATGAATTTTGTGAAATATAATATACATTTTGTAGTAGTAAGTAGCCCTCTTTTGAGTTTAAAACTGCAATTGGGCAAGATATGAACTAAACTAAGTTCCATACAGTCTTTTGAGAATTAAGCAAAATAAGCAATACTGCAAATTGAAAAAAACTTTTTAAATCATAGCTTAAAGACCATACTTGACTTCTACACTAGCGTATACAAATGTCAGACAAACATCTTTCGTAAGAACGTGTTTGTACTAACTGTGGGGAAGGAAAACGTTGGATTTGCTGAAGTTGATTTTGAAGACAGCGTTAAAAAGATGCCGTAAGTATTATAAAATTATTGTCTTCCTTGTATAATAAAAATATTCTATATATGAAAAAAGGGAATATTTTATCGTATAAGTAAAGTTTCAAGTGCAGGAATTTATTTTTGTATTAATGCAAATAACATTACATACTATAGTATGCAAAGAAGAGGTGTAAGTTTCTGTAAACTTATTTGGTATATTTTATAAATTATATTATATGTTTAATTTTTTTAATTATAGCGGTGTGAAAGATTTTGTAAAGACATTTGGAATAAAAGATATCTGCAAGTAATATTATTTTTTAAAATCTCTTACTCTAGTCAATTATAGAAAAAGCATTTTTTTAATTAAAAGTGATAAAGCAAGATATTTGATAATTTTTAACACCATTAAGTGATCAAATGAATGCCATCTAAGTAACATTACTTTATTAATTACAAATATGTTATGTCTTTTATTATTTTCTTTAAGGCTTCTGCTGCTTAAAAGGGTATTTGTCTTTCCGATACCTCGTTCTGAAGCGTATCTACATTACCTAGCCATAGAAGAAAAGTTTAAAGGTCAAGGTTATGGCACAGCTCTGCTCAAGAAGGTCGAGAAAGAAGCTGTGTCTAGACAATGTAATGTAAGTAGATGTAGAAATATGAATATGTGATATAAGATAGATTGTATTATGCATAAGCCTTATCCTTAACAAAGTTGCATGTATGTGGATATGATCTTGAAGTTAACATCCACATTTGATTTAATAATTGAATTTCAGTGTAGACAATGGGGGAATTTTTGCTCCGGAAAAAGGCTTAAAATTTAGCATATTTCAAAAGTAATTTCACATATTTCAAAAGTAATGTCAAGGGGGGTAATACGTTTTTGAGGTAACTTATTGTGACGTAGGCAAGTTATATACCCAATCAAATGACATGTTACAACGAAAGTTAAATTATTAATCGGAGTTCCGATTGGTTAAATTATAAGTTAATAATTAAATTTTAGTTGTAACACATCATTTGATTGGGTAAAAGATTTTATCATTTTTGTATAATATAACTTGCCTACGTCACAATGAGTTACGTCAAAAACGTATTACTCAGCTTGAAGTTACTTTTAAAATATGCTATATTTGAAGCCTTTTCAATGTCTACACTGAAATTAAACTATAAGGGTCAGTTTATGCTTTATAAAGCGCTTCGCGGTTTATAAATAAGCGTAAACCATTGCACCAAGTTAAGTTATATCGTATAACATAAATTGAAATAAGCCTCATTCCTTAATTAAAATATTTTGTGATAAGAAGGTGGTGGGTTCGAACCCCGACCGCGACTGACATAGGTCGATAAAAAATAGGTAGCAACTTTTCCTTTGCCAAGAGCTTGGCACTTTGAATTGAAAGTTGTGGTTCCTTTGGACGAGAGCTTAAAAATCGAGGCCCCGTGTCATGATAGATGTTGATTGAACAAACATACATATATACATACAATCAATCAATCAATCAATCTGTAAAAGCTTTATATTTGACGGTACATAAGCTTGTCTTTTCTTAATCAAGTATATGTAAATGATTGTTTGTATCTTGTTTAATGTCCCTCTTGAGAATTTTTCACTCATATGGATTGGAGATGCCACCATTTGCTGGTGGAGGACTGCAAATTTTGACCTATATTCGGCACTCAGGGCCATTGAGCAGGGAGGGAGTCTTTTGTGCCATCACCTACTGCGACACTGGACCTCGGTTAATGTAAAAATGTTGACATAAAGTCAAAGTTAAGATAATCTTATTTAAAACGTTCCTTATTTCTCTCCTTTTTTGTATGTAGAAAATATTTTTACTGACATTTCCATCAAATACACGAGCAATAAAATTTTACGAGCGACACGGATACAGGGCTGCTGGAAAGATCCAGACTGGATACGGATTGTTCCCTATCCTTGTCAATAAACCGGTCAGTATAAATCTTATTGTCTACCTGAGTGTCCTCACCTTTAAAACAGCAAATATAAAAAGAAATCAATATATAATTTTATCTACCAGGGATCGTAGACAGTGAAAATATTTATCTTTTGAGTTATAATTGGGTAGGGTGTGGGTGAATAAATGTTCGTATCATCTTGTTTTCATGATTGCTGCATTTTTTTCAGGGTATTATTCGATATGAGAAGCATTTGTCATTGTAGTGAATACATAAAAACTACATGATACATGTACCAGGCTTAAATATATAATGGTTGTGTTTTCTTGCTTGTCTTAATACTAATGTTGGCAAGTCGAACGATTTTTATGAACATGTTACTCGCTTAATCTATTAAGTTAATACATATCAACAAAAATGTACACTGGTAGAATGTTTTGGAACACTTTACTCGAAAATTTATTAATGTTTATTTATGATACATTATATGTTATTTAGTATGTATGCATTACATAATCATTACATTTACTGTAGATAGTAAAATATTTTAAGATGTAAATATGTATATCAATAATTTTAAATACTCGTATTTGTATAAATTTTGAATCATGATTTAGGGAAATATTAGCCTGAAATTGTTCACTGAAACAAAGTATTTCAAATAAAGATGCATATGTAAATAGATATGTTTTAGATTTTTGTTAACATCGTTTTTGTTTTCAAAACAGACGGATGGACAAGACACCCCCCCCAAAAAAAAAAAAAACAAAGAAAACTAGCTAATGTACCCCAACCCGGGTGTTGCCCTTGTGGTGCAGTGGTTAGAGCGTCTACTTAGTAAGGAGTCAATCCTTCCATCGTGGGTTCAAACCCCACTGTGGGACGTGGAGAGATGAGACCGTATAAACCTTCTTTTGATTTTGTGATCAAGTTTATTCATTTCAGTAATAAACAAAAGGCTACTAGTATTTTGATCTTGGACTATCACAAGCTATAATTCTAAGTTTACTTGCTATTGAATCCATTTAACCGTCTTATTTTGTCTTTCTCAACGCTGTTCAAACAATTCAAAGTTTATGCGAGTTTTCTAAAAGTTAACATTCAAGATTATGAATTTCGGGAAAAATCACCCCTTTTCGGCGTCTTTTTTTTACACTCTTTAGAGAATTCAAAATAACATTATTTTATAAAGATCAAGATTTTAGAAAATTAACAAAATGAGGTAAAGAAGTCGGTTCACTTTATGCATAAAATGGCCCTGTAGATATACCAATTAATTGATCAACACTTCATTTTCTATTTGAAGCATTAAAATAAAATTGAGACTTTGTGCTTTCATATCCTATTAAAAAATTTCTCCTCAAAGTCCATGTATTGGAGAACTGACTTTATGAAATGGCAATGTTCTTGAAATTTTAGGTAAACAGGTATAATTGAGTACTTTCAGTGAAGAAAAATAATATGAGCGCACCCTCTGATCTAAAAAATAAAACATGTCCATGAATCCTCAGAAACAGTTCTATCATTTACTAGTTGCATATTTTAGATCAGAGGTTGCGCTCTATATCAAATATCAAATAATAACTTTAAAAATTGGCCGTTTTTATAGACTTTTTCTGAATATGAGGAAATTGACGCATTTCGTGACGTCATAATGCATTGACTAGCCAGAAAATGACGTCATTTTTTATAGAATCGCAGTCACCAAAGATCTAAGTGATATTTTAATGCATTGTTAACTAAAACTGTGCAGCTTCAGTTTTTCAGAAATTCACAAGGCCAAATAAGGCAAAAGTGAACCTTGTTCTTTTTCTATTGTGTCCCACCACATTTGTGAAAATTGGATAGCAGATTTTCATTTGTCTCCGTTGGATTCACTGTACATGTAGAAATACGACATCGCATTTTGCAGTCTAGTCGAACCCTCAAACGGGGGTAAACGGATGTTGGAAATCCGTACCCTCAAACGGGGGTACGGCGCATGCGCAGACACTAAAAAAAGTGCCGTTTTCACGGAAAAACGTGTGGTCCACAAAATATGCTCGTGCAAAGTGATGGATTATTTCGTAGCTCTGTATGTACTCAAATTTGATAGATTAAAGATGTTTAAAGAGATTGTATTGCGAAAAAGTATATGTTTATTGTAAAAATCGAGACTTTTTCTCTCCCAAAGTTAGCGTATTCTGTGCCTTGACCTCCATGTTTGATACAACTAGATTTTTTATGCATAATTTAATAAAACGGATGAATAAACAAACAATATTTTGTTTAAAGTTAAACTTCATATAATTCCGTTCCCCGGTATTACAAATTTTGTGTAATGAACATGTTATTTATTATTTTTCGACACTTTCTTCTTTGCCCGTCCGAATTTCCTCTGTCTTGTAAACAAACTTTTGTGTTTCAGAAATGAGGTAAATAAAAACGAAAATTAATTTATTATTTTTTTTTAATTGAAAACAAAGTGTAGACGATTCATTTTTGCATGTTTGTGATTTAAAAAAAAAAAAATTTAAAAAAGAAGAATTATCGTTCTTGAATTCCACTTCGGCTTTCGTGCGTTGCATTAAGGGAAGGAAAACCCTCGTTTGGGGGTATACCCCCGTTTGAGGGTTCGACTAGACTGTTTTGAGGTTGCGCCACGTGGTCATTCCATTGCTTACAAAACATTGACAATTAATTCAAAGTGTAAAAACCCGGCTGTATACCTTAATGGTTTTGATTTATGGCGCTAGTCCACGAACTTCTTTATAACCCATTTACGAACAGTAAACCCCTCCTCCTCGATAAATTTGTAATTAACAATATCCATTTATATTTATTATTTAAAAATATGGATGTCAAAAAAATTGTCAGTAATTGATATTCGAATATTCGATAGAAGTATTCGAATATATTCGAATATTCGATAAAATAAATACATTTTGCATTATAAAATATATATCTTCACTCTCCTGTCAAGCAGTATAGGTTTTATGCCATTATTTTAGAATAAAACTCATGTAGAGTTTAATTAGTAAATACACCTCAATTATTTCTTCTAATTAACAAATATATGAGGAGTATACATGTACATTCAAAATGTAAGAATTTATTTTTTTTGAAAATTCAAAAGATTTTTTGTGTGTTTCAGATTAATTGATCTTCATACTAAAGTATGCATCGACAACTCCTACAAATATGCCAAGCAGAACAATTATCTTACAGAGAAATATTAAAAGCAATTTATTTTGGCTAATTAATTTTCTGATAATGATTTTGAATTATTTATATATAAACAAGGGATCCATGTGTTTACTGTAAAACTGTGTCCTTACAACAATACAAGCTGATTGTAAGTACTGGACACCATTAATTATACCACTAATCATAATAAATAACATGTTCATTACACAAAATTTGTAATACCGGGGAACGGAATTATATGAAGTTTAACTTTAAACAAAATATTGTTTGTTTATTCATCCGTTTTATTAAATTATGCATAAAAAATCTAGTTGTATCAAACATGGAGGTCAAGGCACAGAATACGCTAACTTTGGGAGAGAAAAAGTCTCGATTTTTACAATAAACATATACTTTTTCGCAATACAATCTCTTTAAACATCTTTAATCTATCAAATTTGAGTACATACAGAGCTACGAAATAATCCATCACTTTGCACGAGCATATTTTGTGGACCACACGTTTTTCCATGAAAACGGCACTTTTTTGAGTGTCTGCGCATGCGCCGTATCTCCGTTTGAGGGTACGGATTTCCAACATCCGTTTACCCCCGTTTGAGGGTTCGACTAGACTGCTAATTAGTGAACAAATGAATAAATTACTCTAAGGTAATCAAAGAGGTCAGTGTCTTTTAATTTTGTACAAAGTTAATTCAATTTCTGATTGAACTTGCCAGGTTTTCCTCTCTTTTCAATGCTTTCACACTTTAGAACGAATATTCGAATCATAAATTTATATTCGAATATCAACTCTTCGAATGAATATTCGAATATTCGCATATTCGTTGACATCCCTATTTAAAAAGTATCGTATGGCACGTTAAGCTCATAAAATGATACATTGTTCACTCACATTAAAGTTATGTTTCCACAGGGTATAATTTTAGTCCGAAATAATTGCTTGCTTAATTTACTAATGGTACAGTTGTAGTAATGTTACTGATTAAAAAAAAACAAGTTGAAAAAAGTGTCAAGTGGAGATTTCCCTTAGAAAATTAATCAGTCTAAAGAATTTCTTGAATTTAACAATCGAAAACAATGTTCAAGAAAGAAAAAAAACATTTTATTAACTGGAAAGGTTTTGAAATAAAAAAAAATCCGATGACTAATCTACATGTATCATATTCTCGCATCATTTTTCCAGTATATCTTATGAGGAAATGATATTTTATAAATAAGATCATGAAAGTTCCCGTCTGCGTTCATCTGTCAGTCAAGATTAGGTTTCCTGAGTAACATTACTGTATGCATATTGCTTTGCAAATTAACGCGAAGATTTAGCGTTATAACCCGTACGTTTCGCATTTATTCGCGAAGATTTCGCGTTATAGCGTGTAAGTTTTGCGTTATAACTCGAAAAAAATATTTTTTTAACCAAAGAAAATGGGCCCAATGGGCTTTTGTACAGTCATGCTGTTATATCAGGCCATCTTCTAAAATAATGTTTGAATTCCCTCTCCCGACTCAATGTATTTATTGGTTCGGTAGGTTGGTGGGAATATTTTTTCCCAGAAAATTTCAATATACTTTTTGAAGGGATAAAAGGAATAAAAATGAAAAAAAAGTGTCTAGGAATGTAAAACAAAAAGTTTTGAGTCGGGCCATTTTTAGTCAGTCGGTCGGGAGAGGACAACCAAACATTTTTTTTTAAAGATAGCCTATGTTGTAAATTTTTAATTTATTAGTGGGATGTAAATCCAAAATCTCTCAACAGTATTAGTTTTCAGAATTAAAAACATGATAATATACCAGTATCAAAAAATAATACTAGTATTAGCCTATAGTCTTTGCGAATCCTACTCCACAATCTATCTATAGCATATCTTTCCCTTACAAACGAAATCTACTGACAAACAGAAAAAAAATACAAAAAAAAAACAACCTTATTTTCCTTCAAAATCTTCTATTTATTAACTTCTTTTTTAATTAAACGGGATTTTTTTCGAGTAATGAGTAGAGCTTGATGTGACAAGCAATTTAAATGAAAATATTTCAAAATTGTGCTACAGTTATTTACATTGCAACATTTTGATTTGGAATTTGAATACTTAATGGCAAAGGGTGGCGGACATTACAACTTCGTTCTAAACACGAATAAATTATACAAAGGCCTATTCTTAAAGTATCAGAATAAATGCGTAGACATATAATGTTACCGGTATATGTAATCCAGCGAAACCAACTTATGTATATATTCATGATTATAACACGCCCGCACTCTTAGCATGGTGTATTCTATTGTGAACCAAATAAATGGCTGATGAAATAGATGTCTGATCTTTTTGAAGTCTTGTTTGAAAATTGTGCAGTGTTTTGACACAAACTGCGTACCATACAAGGTCAACTTTATAGATCTCGAGTAGGTAACATGGCATAATCTACAAGCGAGCATTTGCTGGATTTTGAAGGACAAGTGATGTAAGTATACAAATATATGAAAAAAGGAACAAGTATTGCTGTCTATATCGTTATTGTGTGTGTCTTTTACTAAAAGACAAAACTACTAATTACATGTAAAACCTGATGTACAGGGCATTAACCTTATGAGAAACCGTTTTGATAGTAAATAAATAATATTCACCTCAAATTATCAACACCTTGAATGAAAGCATTTTTTTAAAAATTAAATCAGGATTGACAGTCAAGGTCCGCAGGATACGCGGATGTTGATCCTAAGAAAAATATGTATGACTGATGACATATTTTTGTATGATTGATAATAATTGTATTTTTTTTTTGTTGTTGCTTGATTGACAAGGGGTTTCTGGTCGCCCCTTTAGATAAATTATGTTTTTAAAAGAGCCTAATTTGAAAAACTATATATTTTGTTGTTATATATAGCGATTTCTCGTGTCACTATGTTGTAATGATGGATTACTCAATAAGAAATTTGTCTAAGGATGAGAGGGATTCCGAATTTGCCAGTAGAATGATGATAAGAGCTGCCTGTGGATCTTTTGAAGCGTTATATTCCAGTAGCAGGTACATTTCTATCATTTCATTTCGAAGTCATTTAGAAAGGTAATGTATAGCTCAAAACAATTACCCTAACATGCGTTTTTAATACATGTATTGTAAATGTACAATTTGGAAATAAATTTATACGCACATATAAAAAAAACTTATAAATATATAAATATATATACGAGGGTCATTCAAAAAATACGGAGGCAATGTTCCTAATCGTCATATTATTAATACTAGATGAACACATGTTCTTAAATAAAAACATTAATTTTGTCGAAGTGTGAAACTTCATTTCATTTGATTAAATAGAACTTAAGTTAGTTAATGTTTAAAGCAGCATGTTTTGTTACCATGGAGCACGGTTAACCAACATTGTAACGTTAAAAATGACGTGGAGAGAGTTTCTCAAAATTACTAGGTGCATTTGAATTTCATACACGGTTTGTAGCGTCTTCTCCATTCATAAAAACGTATCCATAACACTAATCGCCTAGTTTTGTAACAGTTGTGTAAATATATAGCTTGAACCAGGTTGTCAGTATTTTCAAATTCTTTACCGCGTTCATGTAACTCTGTTAGTTCTGCAACAGTGAAAAGCACATCACGTTCAATGACGTTCCCCACTCTTTTGAAAAGATTTTAAACTATAACCTGTTTCTTTGCAGACAATCCATCGTCCGATCAATCTCGATACCACTCAAAAATTGTATTTTCCATATGACACAAATGCATGGCTTATTTTTCATACATTTCCTGGTTTATACAGATTTTTTAAAGTTTGTTACAGAAGTTTCCCGAATGCAAAGCAAAATTTTATTGCTACTTGCTGCTCCGTGACGTCCTCCAACGTCATGGTTTTTTGCCACTTTTAATCAAGTCCACATGTATTTAGAAACGGATATCTTTTAAATGGAGCGATGTATTACATTACGTGATAGCATCTTAAGTAATACAACAAGACTTACATGTAATTCAAACATGTAAATTTTATTTCGTTTCAGCTCCATTTATTAGAGGTGTGGTTATAGTAGATACTATAATGTGAAAATTAGTAAATTACTCAGTTTTGACGTTGCTCTGTGACCCCAGTTTTGCTGTTCTTAATCTTCGATAATTTTTATAAATATGAAAATATATTCCAATTTTTTAACTTAGATTATTTGAATTTGTCGTTAAAATATGTGTACCAAATTTGGATTTAATATGACGTTAAATAAAATAGTTTGGACAAAAGTCTACGAACTTTTTGAACTTTTTGAATGACCCTCGTACATATCTTCTTTTTGTAGTGGTAAGTTGCCCTCTTTTTGGTTTGAAAAACGGCCTTAAAGGGGCATGGACACAGTTTCACCTAAAAATTTTCAAACTTCATTTGTCGAGATACAAGACAGATTTAGAGCTCCAAACCTTTGTTATGTAAACAAGGCTAGTGTCATGTTTTTATTTAGATATGTTAACCTATCTAATATATGTCAGTTCAAAAACATTTCAATAAATGAGTTTATTCTTAATTCGATTTGACAGTTTCTAGTGATTTGCTGAATTTCATGTTGTTATAAATGTGATATTTACTATATGTAAACAAAAAGAAGGCAAGATCCTTGTTTACATTATGAAAAAGTTCTGTATTTCGTTTGTTAATCAACAAATGATGTTCAAATTTTTGCTGATCATTAAATGATGCCTTAGTTAGGAATTGTAAACATTAATATTGGTTTAAAAAAATTAAGTTGAAACTGTGTCCATGTCCCTTTAATGCAATTGGAAAGATTTGAACTAACAAATCTTTTGAGAAATAAGCAAAATAAGCTACTGCAAATAAAAAAAACCTTTGTAATCATAGTTTAAAGACCATCCTTGACTTTTACGCTGCCGTATATAGATGTCAGACAAATGTCTTTCGGAAGAACGTGTTTGTACTAAATGCGGGAAAGGAAAACGTTGGATTTGCTGAAGTTCATTTTGAGGACAGCGCTAAAGAGATACCGTAAGTAATGTAAATGGTGATACTGGGGCCATTAGTTGGCAAGAAACGTCACTTCCGCTCTAAGGGTATATTTCACACTGGATTTTACACCTTTGGTGAAACTTCGGGGATCAGCTCTGTGGCTACTGAGCTACTCGCTTTCACAGGGGATCTGATTGGAACGTAATTAAAATTAAAAGATGATGTTTATTCGTAGAAAGCAGGACAGAAAGTGTAAACAAAATCAATAAGAAATCAATTTAACATTATACAGATAAATATCATAGTCACCACTCCGGAACTCTACAATTCCTAAACATTGCAAATATTCTAAAAGTAATGCAAAAATAAATCAGCCAAAGGAACGAAACTAACGCTTACCTAATCTACATCTTACTTATGTAATTGATCCAAATAAAAACCAAACATAACAGAAATATTTCCTAATTTTCTCGTTCTTCAGCATTACAGAACTTTTCACTTTCATTTTTCTATAAAATTGATTAAAACTCCTACATTCCCGCCATTAGAGAGTTCTTTTTGGTTTGAAAAACGGCCTTAAAGGGGCATGGACACAATTTCACCTAAAAATTTTCAAACTTTATTCAAATTGACTAAAATTAAAAATACTACAAGGCACCTTTGTTTGAAACAAGTCATGTTTTTATTTAAATAACAATCTAAACAAAAAAGAGAACAGTTTCAGTGATTTGATTGTTATAAATTAAGATTTAAACAGCCTTGTACATAATGAAAAACTTTAAGTTCTTATTTCGTTTGTTAATCAACAAATGAGATTTTTTCACTTAATAAATTGCAAAATTAATATTGGTTTTTAAAAAAATTAAGATGAAACTGTGTCTATGTCCCTTTAATGCAATTGGACAAGATTTGAACTAATCTTTTGAGAAATAAGCAAAATAAGCTACTGCAAATAAAAAAAAACCCTTTTTAAATCACAGTTTAAAGACCATCCTTGACTTTTTCGTATATAGATGTGACAAAACTTTAATGTGGGAAAAGAAAATGGATTTATTGTGTACAGCGCTAAAGAGCGTAAGTAATGTAAATGGTGATTAGGGCCATTTAGCACTAAGGGTATATACGTGTAACCGTCATGCCACTAGGGTTAGCACATTCAGTATTAGATTGGCTTAAGAAGTGGAAGGTTGTGCTACAGAGAAAACGTGAATCAAGTATCCTTACTCTCGCGTGGACAGTTGGACAAGTCCTCAGTAGACATATAGTGTCTTTATTTTTATATTATTTTGAGTCTCGGTCTCAGTTTAGTAACTGGGGAATCCATAAATTAGGGGAGCCACGTTACAATAATGTGAAATCTTTATTGGACAAAAAAGACAATACTGCAAACATCAGTCATGTTACACGTAGCTTATGTACATGTATAATAAAGGAACATTTAATATGAGTAAAGGTTCATATAAACATAATATTTTTTGGTATTTCATACAAATAGTATATACTTTAAAAATAAAATTACATATACAAAGAAAAGATGTAAGTTTTGTAACATTCTTTTGTATTATTATAATTTTATTATTAATTTATCATAGATGAATCATGAATGATATATTTAATTATTATATTATATATATTTTTAATTTTAGAGATTTGAAAGATTTTATAAAGACATTTGGAATAAAAGATGTGTGCAAGTAATGAAAATTATTTAAATCTCTTATTATAATCAGTTATGGAAAACATTTTTTCAAAAAGGTGATAAAACAAGATATATGATAATTTGAAACACCATCAAGTGATATTCAAATGAATGCCATCTAAGTAACATTGCATTATTATATACAATTATGTTATAGCGTATTATTTTATAATTAATATGTCTTTTATTATTTTGTAAGGCTTTTGCTGTTTAAAAGAGTATTTGTCTTTCCAATACCTCGTTCCGAAGCGTATCTACATTTCTTAGCCGTAGAAGAAAAGTTCAAAGGTCAAGGTTATGGCACAGCTTTGCTCAAGAAGGTCGAGAAAGAAGCTGTGTCTAGACAATGTAATGTAAGTAGATAAAAGTAGATGGTATTATGCATAAGGCTTATGGTTAACAAGGTTGTATGTGGATATGATCCTGAAGTTAACATCCACAAGTTAATTAAATATTTTATGATTAGAAGTAGGTGGGTTCGAACCCCGACTGCGACTGACATAGGTCGATGAAAAATAGGTAGCAACTGTTCCTTCGCCAAGCGCTTGGCACGTTGCATTGATAGTTGCGTATCGATTGGATACGTGTCACGACAGACGTTGACACAATAAAGATCTCACCGCTCAAAGGCGTTGAGTACCGAATAAAAGTCTAAAAATTTGAATCCCTTCATCAGAATATAGTGACTTCTGTGTATGAGTGAAAAATTAACGTACACACATACATATATACATACACAATACAGCAATAAATAAAAGCTTTATTTAACGGTATAAATGCTTGTCTCTGCTGTCTTAATGAAGTATACGTAAATAATAAATGCAAAAATATTGCCATAAAGTCATGGTTATGATAATCGTATTGAAAAAAGTTTCTTTTTTATCTCCTTTTTTTTTTTGTATGTAGAAAATATTTTTACTGACATTTTCATCAAATACACGAGCGATAAAATTTTATGAGCGACACGGATACAGGGCTGCTGGAAAACCCCGTACTGGATACGGATTGTTCCCTATCCTTGTCAATAAACCGGTCAGTATAAATCTTATTGTCTACCTCATCTCCAAAACAGCAAATGCAATTTCAAGCAAATCGTTATATGATGTTATTTACAAGGGATCATAAATAGTGGAATATTCATTGATTGGATTATAAATGGGGTGGGGGGGGTGTAGAAGACGTTCGTCTTATCTTATTAACATGACGATTGCTGTATTTTTTTTTCAGGGTATCATTCGATACGAAAAGCAGTTGTCATTGTAGTGAATACATATTAACTACATGTACATGATATCAGAGGCTTAAATATATATCTTTGTTTTCTCGACATCTTAATTCATATCAACAAAATTGTACTGTGTACGCTAGATAGAATCATTTTACTTGACAATTATATATTTATGTATATTTATAATACATTATATATTATTTAATATGTATAATATATTACATAATCATTATATTAATATGGTAAATATTTAAGATGTAAATATTTACATCAATGAATTTAAATTTTTGAATAATATTTAAGGGAAATATTAGCCAGAAATTGCTCAACATTGAAACAAAGTGTATAATATGAAATAAAGATGCACACGTACATACAGTCATAATGTTTTAGATTTCTATTAACATCGTAAAGAAACTAATAAATGTTCCTGAAGCTACCATATACTGGAATATTTCAACGAAAAAAATCAAATGTTTGAAATAAAAAGAAAGGTTTTTAATGAGTCTTGATTTTATTGATTTGAATGACAATGAGCGTATTTAAAAAATATTTGTTTTACAATGGTCAACAATTCTACAAGAATAAGAATGGTAACATGTATCAAGCTGTTGGTAAACCAAGAGTCTAATAGAAAATCCATTTACCCTCTTAAGCCAAAAACCATGGAAACATCGTAAGGTCTTAAAATTGCATTAATTTCCTGCCTTATTTAAAATTTACCATTTAATTTACTATAGTTTACATATACGTGATTTTTCTAATGTTTTAATGTGTTTCACAGAAGTTGTAAAGAAAATCTTCGGCATTAGAGGTCAAATGTGATGGCATTTTATAAACGAGGCTTATTTTTAGGACAAAAACCTTCACCACGATTGCCATTGTTTGCAGTTATATTGAATTTATTTTTTAAAAAAAATTATGTTCATTATATAATGCCTTTGGAAACACAGAAACTAACTTCATGAAGCGAAAGTACACTGGTGCAATGTATATTACATGTACATAGAAAAGGTAACAATTTAATTGTCTTGAAGAGCATACCTCTTCATTATTACACATCAGTTCAACCTCTTACTATGGTTTATAACCTTACATAGATAACTTTTATGCAAGGAGATGGGTGAACATGACGAGAGATAAGCCCATAGCGCGACAAACATGAAGGTGAAAAATTAAATCTCAATTTTATCAAAATTTTCCTTAATATTTCATCTCACATTAAAGTATACTTTAGATAAGCCCATAGCGCGACAAACATGAAGGTGAAAAATTAAATCTCAATTTTATCAAAATTTTCCTTAATATTTCATCTCACATTAAAGTATACTTTATGTAAAATCTCTACAACTTGCACAAATCTCATAAAAATCTCATAAAAAATAAAATAAAGTTATTTGCCTATGAAATATTATTTTACACACACGCCTTTTTTAATCAAGTCCATATGTAAGAGGACAAAATGAGATTTCATTTTTTCACACTATAACACTATTTTTCTGTATAAAGTGAAAATTAGAAAATTACTCAATTTTGGGTCATTTTTCTCTCCTTGGTAATTTTTTTGAAAGATTTAATTTTTTTCCTCTGTTGTTAAAATATTTGTACCAAAGTTTGCATAAAAACATACATATTTTGGTTTCCAAAATTATGGAGCAATGACCCACTATACCTTAAAAATATAAGTTTATGTCATAACTTTCGTATCTTTCCGAGAAATACTTGAAGTCCCTTAAGTCAATGATTATATCACAAACATGATTAAATGCCACACTTGATCAGGACTTGTGTAGCGAAGTGGTTAGCGTGCTAGTCTCAATAGAGAATGCAACTCAGGATTTTTATTGCCAGGGTTCGAACCCAATGGATACCACATTATTTTTTTTTTATATAAAAGAATAAATGTTAACAAAAAATTTTCCTCAAAACTTTTTGTTTCTCATGATTTTATAAAAATCAATGACGAGAACTTTACTCTAAATACTAAATTCACATTTTGAATATGATTTTTATATATCTGAAGCTATTGGGCTTTCTGCATGCTAAGTTCACCCATCTTCTTTATTTTTCAAAATTATCTTGCCGTGAGCTGTTGCTCGCTGATTTATATATTGTATTTAAAGAAAACATCATTTCTTATTAAAACATTTCATTGTTGAAATAGTTCCATCTTCATCCAAGTGGTCTTCTAATACTGGTAAACGAAAATTTAAAAGAAAACATGTAGCTGGCTCAGAATAATTTAGAATTTTTAATAATATAATTATTAAAACTGATAAAGGAATACAAAATACCTGTCTGAGATCCCAGGAGCACATGACAGTCTGTTGGTGTCATATTTTCATCCAGTCTTCCATCATATTTTTGATTATACCAAAGTATGACGCTTCCCTTAAAAGTAGTTTCTTCAAATTATCTAACACAGATTTTAAAGGTTATATACATTCATAATTAATAGAGGATATCTATATTGTGTGATTTGATATTGGCTTTACACGAGTTGAAATGGTGTATATTTACACCAAAGGTGGATATATACGACTTTCGTTTTAACAAAACTTCGAGACTTCCCCTGCGAAACTGCCACATGAATGACTGCCAAAATCAAATTGATGACGTATAACTTGATGACGTAGCACCGTTGATGTTTACATGCGTCGAGAGAAAGTAGATCGAGTTCAAAATTTAGAATATTTGCTATCTGTGTCTTTGAAAACATCATGTGAAAATTGCTGGAGCTTTACATCAAACGAACTTCTGACTGAAAGTTGTTAGGACTATGGGGATCGTGAAAATCAACTCTTTTTACGATGGCAGTACAAATCGTGCTAGGCAAAGGGGCCTGACTTTGTCTAGATTGTTTGCTGATCCATGGTAAGTTACACCTACATTACTAGGTAGGCATACGTAGTATAATATAAGAAAGCAAAAGATGTCAAAGGAGTCTTATAACAACAACTTAACTGGTACATCAGGCTTTACTTTCTCCGAAAACGATCTAAGAGGGGGGGGGGGGGGGTAAAGTTCAATTACAAGATTTCTAACATTTTTATCATTCATTTTATAAGGGCAACAATTTTCACAAATAAAAGTTTCAATAAAATAAAATCTTGAAGCGAGGGTTCGTGTCAAAACCGGAAGTGCTATTGATAAAGCATGTACCCGTTGATAAAGTATAAGTTTATCCAACGGCCTGTATCACCAACAGATAATAACGTTTATCTCATACGTGTGGGTGATGGATAAACTTTTGTAAGCTTTATCAATAGCACTTCCGGTTTTGACAGGAAAAAGATTTTATTCTATTGAAACTTTTATTTGTGAAAATTGTTGCCCTTATAAATTGAATGATATAAGTGCATTAATATCGTTAAACGCAAGAAATAGACTGGTTTATGTCAAAGAAGTGTCTTATTTTATCACGGAACCCGTATTCGCTACTTACCCCCCCCCCCCCTTAAATCGTTTTGGAGAAAATAAAGGCCTACCAACTCCTTTTACATATTCAACAATGCTTTCTTATATTATACTACGTATGCCTACCTAGTAATGTAGGTGTAACTTACCATGGATTAGCAATGAATCTAGACAACTAACGTTAGGCCCCTAGCCTTGCCTAGCACGTTTTGTACTGCCATCGTAAAAAGAGTTGATTTTCACAAAATAGTTAGTAGTCCGTTTTTATGTGCAGTTTAAAAAAAAAGTTTGTTTTAGTTTTGTTTAAGCGAAAGTGGAACATCTATAATTGTGTGATTTGATATTGGCTTTATCCAACTCTTTTAAATGGTGTATATTCGCGCGGCAAGCCTCGCGAATATATACACCATTTCAACTCGTTGGATAAAGCCAATATCAAATCACACAATATAGATATCCTCTATTTATCTGACCACAATACAAATCTATAAAAGTTGAAACATGGAAACTTCCTAAGTTCAATTACAAGATTTCTCATTTTTATTTCTCCTTTCTTTTAAATCTGCGTGCAGCTATTTTCAAAATACACGAAACAGTTTTTTTTTATGAGTAAACTATGAAAAAAATCCCCATACATGTATTGCTAATTACCTTGATAAAGGGGATTCTCGTCTTCTTTGGAGTAAAAACCATAGACCCACCGTATTTGGGTTCATTTATCTAAGAAAAAGAAATACAAAATACTCATCATGACATCAAAATAGTTAAAGTTTTATGTGCAGTTTAAAAATATAGTTTGTTTTATTTTGGTTAGAAATATACGTACGACAAAGTTCCATGTTGCAATTCTTCTTCTATCGACGTAAAAGAATGTCTAAAAGGATAAAGTAAATAAATCCTATTTTGTTTCAAATATATACTGCTATTATACTAGTAAGGTATAAAGAGGAGTAATTCTAATTTTATATTTCAGTGAAACAAACCTCTTCTGGTTGTATGGGTAGCCGAGTAATCAAACGCATTCTGTTCCTCAGCGTTTTTCTCAAGAATTGATCAATGTCGTTTGTGGTATATCTGAAATGAATAAGCACAAATATACTATCAATCTATGTGTTTATCAGATGAGTGAACGAAAATTTAGTAATTTAACATATGTAACCTTGCTGAATTATGTAATATATTAATTTAAAAAACCGAAAAATCATACTTACTTATGGCTGTTTATTGCTGTTGGTATGTTGGAATGTTGTTTATACTTAATTGTTGCCTGCTAAAAGGAAATAAAATTACTTTATTTAATCAAATTTAGAAAATAACAACAACAAAGAGATATCTTCTCAATATTAGAACATACTCCATTTATCCCCAGATTATTCTGATATCATGTATACTATTAAATTTTGCGTTTAACTCTTACTAGTAAATTCAAAATTAACAACATGAAACTGATCTAAATATTGGACAAAAGAGTCATAATAGATAGCATGTATAGACTACCTGAAGAATAATAAATAAATAATAAATAAATTCAGCAATATTTACCGTTACGGTTGTGCTATTCCTAATCATTCTTATTTCATTTTCTGTCAGAACGTCGTATAATACTGAAATCCTAGGTCTAAGATGAAAGATTTCCTCCTTTGAAAATAAATACGAAATATCCGATGCTTTCAAGATACATCTTAACTTTGCTTCTTCTTTAGGTGTCTACAAATGTAAACATGATCTACAAATTACAATGATTTATATACTACATTTAAACACAAAAAATATCCTAAAGAAGTCTTCACTTCGAACACGTGTTTCTCACCTTCAGGGGATTTCGACATAGCTGTACAAATTTCGACTTTTTACCCTTGGTGTCAAGTGTAAAACCCATAGGTTTATTTTTATCATCCAATGGCATCCCATTCAGACGCATTGTGTAAAATTCCAAATCTCTTTTTAAAAGTCGATTATTTTCTTCTGAAACACACAAAAATAATAATAATAAGAACATCACTAAAGTGTTAATTATACTTTTGAGCTTTTCATTTTCAACTCATCTAGATATGAAAAAAAGATAATTACCTTTAATCATTAACTGTTTTAAAATTTCAATTGCTTTTTGAGGCATTCCAATCTGGCAAAATAAAAGCAGATGCAGTTGTAATAAGAGTTTGTAAATCCTTTGGAGGCTACAAAATTTTCATAAACTGTATATGCAAAACCAAAGCAGAGAAACATGATTCCTGTTTATATAGTTCAAGTATACCTTGTTGTATACACCCGCCAGTACTCTGCCTACTGTTAACTCAATGATGGTAGAATCCATATCTTCATTTTCTGAAAACCTGCGGTGAAGTTCCTCAAACCATGCTACAGCTATACGCATCATGTCTTCCTTGTCCGCCATTGAAGCAATGAAATAAAGTTCTTCCACAGAAAGAGGATTTGTCGTGTAGCCTTTTATTTTCCCATCAAACAAGTCTTGAATGTCCAGGTCGAACATGTCGTAAAGTTTAAGAATATTAATAGCTGAGCTCTGCAGATCCTTTTCAGTGATCCACCCACCCACCTTCCTTTCCACGATTCCGAGTGTAATGTTAAAATCTAGAAATAAATTTAGTTGAATAGATATTTATCTATTGTATTATGATTCTAAGAAATTGAAGAACGTAAGTTGTTTTTTGAAAGACATGAAATGTTACTTCAGTCATCTTTTCCTATCATTTTCTTTTTCTTCACTCACCTTGAGATGCAGGCGTTGCTTCACAATCGTCACACCAAATGAGACGAAATATCTTATTCCAGTCATGGTAAATTCTGTACAAAATGTGGAAAGTATCCAAAGGGTTCTCCGAGAATTTATCCTCTAGTAACTGCTGTTCATTCTTTGCTTTTGTAAGAAGACTGTAAAATATACCATATATAACTACAAGTAGGGAAGTCTTCATACATAATGTCAACATTCGGAGAGAAAACAAACCTTTTTTAAACTCGATAGATCCATAGGATTAGGTCCATAAAAATATTTCAAAAGCGTTTTCACCTTGATATACTTTTGTAAATTGTTTTGTTCAAAATGTTAAAATGATTTTACCTTTTAATATCTTCAGGTACAAAATCAGCGGTTGTCTCTGTGGCATCTATATATCTTTCAAGTCCTTTTATTAACCTTTGTTCTTCTTCTCTAAGCACGTTTATTTGACATACGGAAGTAAATAATCCAGAATTGGAAGAAATTAATGTACAAATGAATAATGATAAGACGCAAAACCATAGTAAAATAAATCCCATTTTTACTTGTCTTTTTACCAGTCCACAACATACTATACAGAGTAAGAAAAATCATTGCTAAATCGATTTGGTACACGTGTGGAGTACGATGCCACATTGGACAAATCAATTCCCTAAAAACAGCAAGCAACACGTTGGAGATGCGAGGTCGTTCTCATCAGCTGTTACACAAATCGCACATCTTTTCTTTATAAGTTTATTCGTCAGTGTTAAATTGTTTATTTTTCAATGAACTTGACAACTATGCAAAATTACATGGATTGAACAATGACAGTTTAAATACGGAAAAAAGTTTTAAAGTCATGCAATACATGCAGTTTACAGCTCTTAATGAAGTTCGGGAGGAATTTCAGTAAAAAGTTCTGTCATATTTAGTCGGACAAATTGCCTACAAAGGAAATATTTAAATAAAATACAAAGTCTGAATAGGAAAAAGGAAAATTCATATGAAAAATCTTACTGACGGGCAAGACTATTTTCATTCTACCTTTCATAGGCAAACGCTGGACCACTTTCATAAGATGCTTTGGCATTCGATAAATAAGCCAAATTTTTGGTCAGGTCATAAATGGCGACCTGCAGATCCCCGGATTGGACAATGGAGACCACATCCCTGATAGTATTCTCAACAGTGATGTTGCCGTGGTACTTTTGAAGTTGATTTCCAAGAACTTCATTAAATGCAGGGCAATCCCAGTCCATTCCTACAATCCGTTATATTTGTATCATGTATACAAAAATTCAAAATTAGCCTTGTCAAACTAGGGTTATGATGATAATGGATTACAATCTTAAAAACAATTTCTTATCTTCAAATTAAGCAACTGCTTTTATTTTCTAAGATAGGCCTATACGAAAATTTTTCACATACCCCAGTAGACGACGTTTTCTATTTTAGGATGCCATTTTTCTGCTGGTCTCATGTTAAGGTCATCAAAGAAGTCTGCTACAGAGGCAGAATACTCAATACCCCGAAATTGTCCGATCTGCCACGAACATCAGATAAAACATGTATGGAATAGTGTAAATTGCAATTCAAGAGAAGCTAGAAAAACATCAGTTGTAGTTTGTTGACATACCTTCGCGTCTCCCACTCCAAGAATTAGATTACAAGTTCTCGGGGAGTTTGCTATGCGGTTAATTGAGTCGTCTAGTGTCTTATCAAATTGAAGAATATCTCGAAGAAGGAACTGAAAATACGTTTAAAATAATTTATCGTTAGAGAAGCTGAACAAGTATTTGCATATAGCATTAGGATTTTACAGTCAGTTCAACGCTTTACTTGTGAATTATTCATTTTCCAGTTGTACTTAAAATCTAAATGACAACAAATGTCTTTAAAACTAACTGTAAATGGAGTTCCAAATCTTGATTCAGAACCAAAGGTCGAGTCCGGAAAAGATACACCAATCTCTGATATTGCCATCTTCTGTGAACTCATTCCTAATGTATAAGACATTCAATATATTAAATAATTCATTATAAGGATTTTATTATCATTTTCTTTTTTTTTTACTGAAATGAAATTTTGTAAAAAGTGTAATTTAATTGCTCTTTTAAAAAAAATTATATAAAGTAAACTAACACTTCATGATTTCGTAAAATTTTTGCTCTATATAAATCATCAGTTAGTCGTCATATATATTTAAAAAATGAATAACCTGTAATTGATCCAAACCAGCCGGTCCACCCAAAATTAGCAAAAGCATGTCCGTCCTTTGGGTAGGCAGGATGGTAGACAGTCACCTGGGGATAGTCCTTAAAGGGACCTTCAAGTGAAACGGTTGGTCAATTCATGCATAAATGGCTAATAATAGGAAAACTGAGAATTTCGTAAGCATTTCACAATATGATGTTTACCATCAACACTCCAGTCTAGGGCCCTGAGTTGTAGGAGAGAATCTTTTACTGGCACAGCATTACCCCAGGCACCAAACATTGAACAGCTTCCTTTTCTGGACAGAAGGAAAGAATCCTTTTCGAGTTTTTTCTTGTACTAACAATTTTTTGAAAACATACTAGTAATCATAACATGTAAATCTAAACTATCTGAGGAAAAAATTGATACATGTAAGTAAAGCTGCTTTAGATAAAATGAACAAATACATGTATATAAAGCTGAAGAATTTTTTTTGGTGGATAAATGATTAATTTCTCCGCTTTCTTTACATTTCTTTCCAAATCTTTTCTACATTTCTTTCCCACTCTCTTTCTTCCGTTTTCGATTCACAATGTGGCACTTTAATTTACTGTAAAGCATGCTTACGTTAGTTCTCCTATCATATGAATGCGAAGAAGCTTCTGGAAAAGGAAGAAAAACATAAAAGATTATTCAACATAAATATCACGATATTCGCCTTTTAAATCACTAGGTTAATGCACTTATTATTCAAAAGTATCTTTCACTTGTAATTCAATGCCGCATCCATCGGCGATACCCTGGGCTTCTTCAAAGAAATAAGATCCAGAATATTTTCTCGTTATGTCTAGTTCTAAATCCAGTGCTTTTTCCAGGCTGTAATAAATTGTCTAATGATTATTATATTATACACGTATATTTGAGAAAAATAATTATTTATCAGGTTAAGACAATCCTACCCGAAATCTGCAATATCTTTCAAGAACCATGGTTTGAAAATGTGGACAGTTCCATTGATTGCCTCTATCTAAAACACAGATATTTTATACTCAATGACTAAACACAATATAAACGTAAAAATATACAATGATATTAAAATTCTACGAAACTTTGTGTATAATTGCAATATCTTTTTAAGTTCCCATAACATAAATCAGCCGTATACCACTTGATCCTCTAGATATTCCCAGACGGCGTCCATCATTTTGACTGCCTTGTCACCAAGTAATTGTCCCTGGGCCTTACCCCAGTCATAAGGCTTACCTGACAATAGAGGTAAGCTTAATGCAGGTTACAGATCTCTTTAGTCTGTTGCATGTAACATAAAACTGTGAAGGTTCCAATTCTTCAAAATATTGTTATTGATGACCAAAGAGTTGTAAAAGTCTCTGTTATATCTAGCTCTTTAGAACGGTAAGAGCTATGGAACAAAAAAAAGTATCTACACGAGGAGCATCTTAAACACAAATGTAAATCAGTTGAGTTTTTTTTTTTTTTTTTTTTTTCAAAATATTACTTTTGGTGTTTCAGAGACTATGAGAAGGACTCACCCCAGACATGCACAATGTCAAAGGCGTCTTCACCAGAACCAACAGTATAGAGCTTGCCATTCACAACTGACTTGACGTGTCTTGGAGGTAAGGTATAAACTGGGTTTAAATTTTGTTTAGCGTTTTTACTGGGCTGTAACCACAGAGAAAAATGTGGCCAACGTATTCTTCTACCAGTCAAAAAGAATGAAGGACAAAAATGTAAAAAGAATACTAAAGTTTACTATCCAGAAATGTAATTTTTATGTGAAATCATATTTAAGACATATCTGTTTAATACATGTATATAGAATTTTAATTCCAGTGTTTTGGTATAATCCATTAACTTACTGATCCGTGACAGAACGCAGCCTCTGTGACGTCAGGAACCAGAACGAGAATAGCCAGTATCCAAAGAGACTCCATTTTGTATTTACTTATATATATGTGGATTAATATATACCAAGAAAGAGTGCATGTATATATGGCTTTATCAGATACCAAGGTCTTATCTCCTTATATAGAACATTTGGTAAGATAATATTTTCAGTACTATTGTTCTCGCTTTACAAAAAGGGCATAATAGTGAATTAACATTAAAAAAAATTATATGTGTATAATTTCTTACTTTAAAATGAGGTCAAAACAAAAAAAGAAAATAATTACACTGTCACTAAATTCACGAAAGACGTTTTGTTAAAAAAAAAATATAAAGATTAGTATTCTCGTTTTTCTTAATGTATTATATGTAATTTTCTATTTCAATTATTTTTTCCTTAATGGATTGTACGGCATTACCTTAATTCGCCAAAAAATACACTCCACGCCGGTGTAATAACTACAATACAATTTAATAAAATTATATTACATTTGGTACACTGTAATAAGCTTTCAAAATATTCTCGCCTGGTCTCGATTTTAAAAAAATGTATATTTTATTGATCCGGTGCTGAAATTTTAATTTACTCCAAAGAACAAAAACACAATAAAATATTTAATATTTTATTTTAAAAAAGAAATTGGGATAGTTTAAACAACCCATATCTATCTGATATTTTAATCCTCCTTTTGAAAAGTCATTGATGGTGATACTTTATCTTCTATTTTTTAGTTAAACAGTTATATAAATTTTGAATAAACTAGCCCAGACAACACGAACTTATACCTTAAATGTACCTTATACCTGGCTAACAATTATCATATACCTAAATTTATCACAGTCAAAATATAATTCCATTTGATTTATTAAATTAAGAAGGCCAAAATACTGAAACTCATCATTAATATTTTTATACACATGTAATGTAAAAGTAGTAAATAAATTAAATACAAAGAACTTTATTCAGTATTAACCAATATTTGCCCCCCAAATCAAACTTTGATGGAGATATATTTAATTAAGTTCTTAAACAGGGGAGAATATGCTGACTTCAAAGCACTGAATATTTTCATAAGTAATGACGCCATATGTACGTAATGACGTCACAAACATGACGTAAATTTCAGTTTTTTATGAATTTTACAGAAAAATGTATATATTTCGTCGATATTTTGAGTAAAAGTCACCGAGCGCATGCGTGTTCAGGATCAATATTTTGATATAATGTGTAGAATGATAATATCAATGAAATATGTCAATATTGTTCCTGAACAAACTTGCGCTCTATATATTTTAAAGCTAAAATTGTTGAAATTTTGTCCATTTTGTCCTCTTTCTGAAAAAGGATATAAAATCGGACTAGTTTGTGACATCATAAAATCAAAAATTGTGAATATACTGCTTTGAAACTATAATATTTTCCGTTAATTTATATTTCTCATACAATTTATCGAATTCAGCACATTTCAGGATGTTTTCAAAATTTGACTTTTGTGGGGGCAAATATATGCAATATACCGCATATAGTTCTTTAAAGGCAATGGCTGTGTCGATCATTTCTTGTAAATAAAATAAATATATTCATAAAAATAATATTAGATAATATAGAAATTTTTCTTAAATTCTAGTACCTATTTCTATTCATACACAAAACATGGTTGGTTTTTGTTTAATATTCTATTTTCATGTATCAGGAATAAATTTAACACACACTCTGTCTGAATGTTCTCTTTCTATTACGTAGTTTGTTTCTCCTTATCTAGCACTATCTAGCGCTTGAAGCATCTCCTCCCTTGTAGGTACTTTAATGTCAGACATAATTTGTTTCTTGAGTTCCTCAATCTCCTTACTAACTTCCGGTAGTAATGTGTCAGGGAATTCTGGGATGTCTTCCTTTTCTAACAAGTGTTCAGTATTTCCAACAGATGAATGAGCTGTTTCCATTTCACGTTTTGTCAGAGGAGCACTACCGGGTCTAGTCTTTGGTTTATGGGTCACTTCTTCATATTCAGGGTCCCCGGGTGCAAAACTCACATCGGATCTTTGTTTAGAATGTAGCATGGACTAAAAAAAGTTAACAAAATATTACTTACTTGAAGTATGTGAATGTTTCATTTTCATACCATTTTTTAATAGTTCAAATTCATCAAACACAAGTTATCTCACCTGCATGACCTCTCTAGCGGATTGAACCCTTTTAACTCTGTCCAATTCTACATTCATTTTTTCATCATACAGCTGTCCGCATTTCTTCACATAAAGTCGTCTGTTACGGAATAACATGTATTATATTTTTAATCTTGTATGTATAACAAACTTGAAATCTAATATAAACAAAATATGACAAGACTTACCTTAATTCAATATTTTGTGTTATGAGGTCATTGATCTTTTGTTGATACTTGGAATCGACTTGCTGAACTTTCTCATCAAATTGCTCTTCAAATGACATCAGTTTTACTTTCTGCAATATTAAAATGATTAAAATGAACATTATGTCTTACAGTTGCCGGATTATACCAAAATTAACTTCCCTTTCGGTAATTATTTTTCAATTCCATCAAAATAAAATATATAAGTACTAGGGATGTCAAATCGGTCAATTTTTAATACTCGGTTACTCGGACGTTTTTGCGATCGAGTACCCGAGTACTCGGTAAAAGTGTAAATACATATAAACAGGTAAATTGATGAATGTAAAACATTGTAAACTCTTGTAGAAATAAAACCACGTGCTCTGATAGAAGGTTTACCAGTTCATGCATTTCTGTTTTAACAATGATGAGCACTTCGTGCCCGACGAAATTTAATACAACATTTTTTAAAGTTCAATTTATTTATCAGATAATCACAAGAAATAAAATCGTTAGTGGTTCACAGTGTTTTTGTTTAAAAAAAATCTACTCCGTAATTGTAATGTAAATCTTTGTTGCGTTTGACGTCCAGGTATCAGTCCTACAATTTGACTTGAACTTCACCAAGTTCTAACAGAGCGGATTTTACGATTTTCGTATACTTTTCGATCCTAGATTTTATAGTATTACGGAATGGTATTTTGTAGTGAGGTGCAACTATGGACATCATATTTTTAAAGCCTTTGCCTTCAACCATTTGTTCATGTATTGGCATGTAATCAAACACAGACATATCAACAATCGCACGTGTAATATCATCTGTTTCTTTTCTCGAGAATTTACGTCTTCTCGGAGATTTGACAAAATTGTCTAATTTATTTAATAATAACAGACCTTAAACGATGTTCAGTGAAAACAAATAAAGCAAATCATTAAATTAGGGTAGAAGACAGCCGAAGGTGAGAAAAGCCAGGTAACAGGTGCTTGGTCACGATAATTACTGTATAAACATGGCCACGGGCGATAACGGTTATTTAGAGGAGTAGGAAACCATGATTACTGTATGTACAAGTGCAATGAGTATTTTACGTTTTAAAACAGATTGTTTAATGCATTAATAAATAAACATAGAAATATTCAAAAATACACATCCGAGTAACCGAGTACCGATTTTAGTATTCGATACTCGGACGTTCGACTTATTAAGTACTGATTAGGTACATGTGCATCCTGGACACGGTGAATACTTTAAAACATACCGTGTCAGCAAGTTCTCTGGAAGTATTGGCCAGCTGTTGACAGGTTTCGTTATAAGCAGTGGTTATGGTCTCTAGATCACGCTTTGTTTCCTACAAAAAATATGAGGATAATGAACAGCAATCATGCGCAAAATTCCTAATGAACAATTTAAAGTAAGAGCAATTACTGACAATTGGAAACGTCAGAGGTGGGTTCAGGTGCCAGGAGGAGAAAGCATCCCCTGTCAATAAGCTACAACAATATATGCCCTTTGTCTTGATTTTGTACATGTATAAATCCATAGTCAGATCAGGTTGGAAATAATCATACATAAAAGTTTCTATTGGATATAAAATAATATGTTGTGAGTCATGGTAAATCGAAAATTATAAAGAATTATTTAATTTTACCTTTAATTCCGCTGTTGTTTTCTTTAACCTTTCCAAATCAGCAGCTGCATTTGAAAATTTCCTTACTAAAGCCTACAGAAAAAAGCATGTTCTAATCTTTATGTAGTTAATGAATTTTGTTTTTCAACAGACTGCAGTATTATTCTTATTCTTCCTTTCCAAAAGAAGACAAATTTTGCTTTTTAAGATGGTACTTACATCCAGTTCTTTTTTGTGTTCCTTGCGTAGACTTTCAATGGTTTTCTGATGATCTTTCTGCATTGCAATCCTCTCTACATTCCTCTCCTGTATCACTTTCATTTCTGTCAGGAATTATTCACATAAAATTACAATTCATAATAATTTGTTATCTTTAAAAACTAAGCTCACAAATGAATTGAAAACATTAAAATATTATAAATCCTACTCATTTCGTGGACAGCAGCCTGTTTTTCCTCCTGAAGTTGAAGTTTCAGATCATTTTCTCGGTTGTTCCACTTATCGTCCATATCTTGATGAAGTGAACTTTTATATGACTCAAATGCGCCTTGTAGAAATTCTATTTCTTTCTTCATTTTTACTGAAAGAAAACATTAATTAAAGTTCCAGAGATGTAAGATTTACTTCTTTTCAAACTAAACCATTTATTTTCTTAACAAACAATTTAGCTGGTTAAACTGTTAAATGCATTCAGATTTGGGGCATTATAATTGTTAAAGTTTTTATTTAACACTAATTGTTGACATATGTCGCTTCTGTTTTTCTTTCAAAAGTCTCACTTTGTTGAAACTTTGACAAAACCTCCCACAAAACCCATGGTCCATACATGAAATGTAATGAATACAAAACTAACAGAAATCTTTTGATTCAAATTTTAGGAATCACAAATCCCTAATTTACTCCAAAATCACATTTAGATATAGTGACTGGGGCATCAAATGGTGGATTTTTTGAACAACCATTACAGTAGGAATCACACAAAACATGGAGGTGTCAGAATTTAAGAACTCTGTAACATTCACATACAGAGTTCTCATTTAAATGCCAAGAAGATGAACAGATAGATGAAACTATGTGCCATGTCCGTTCTTAAAACACAGAGAAGATGCAGAAAATTGGACTCAGGTCTAATTTGCCTACACTAAAATTACACTGAATAGATGGACAAAACTATAGGACTACATTATTTTATTTACTTACAGATTTGTCCCTCTGCTGCTGTTTTGTAAGCCTGGTGATCTGCTTCGATACTGAGACGGAGTTTCTCCATATCATCTCTATGATCATCTTGTAAATCTCTGATAAAACATTCAACCATATTGGAAATGGAACATTTTACCACATTAGAAAGAAGCAAGTAAATGTATACCAGATAAATCAGCTATATACACTTCTACTTCAAAAGGTAAGTATGAAATTACAGTTCCAGTCTAAAAATGAACTGGTAAAGTAAATTTTAACAGATTTATAAGATAAAGAGTCACCTAATGGCATCCCTATGTTGATTGTTCAGTTCATCAACTTTGTCTTTTAGAAATTCCTCTGCCTGAAAAAATAATTCAGGACAAAAAAAGAGTAATAAATACGCATAATTACATATAAGTAAGGTGTACTTATGGGAACGAAAATATTAATTGGGAGTAAAAATGATTTAGAAATAAAAGAGAAACGCTATGATGAACACACACCTTCTGTTTAGTCTGTCGATGGTTTACTCGTTCCTCCTCTAAGTACAAAGAAAGGTCGGAGATTTGCTGCTGTAATTGCTCGATGATTGTATCCCTATTTCAAGAGCAGACAATATACTAAAACGTTTGAAAATTGTCCTTGCATCAGTTAATTGTTTATTATTCTTTTTATAAGCGCTAATATGGCCTTTTATATGGATTTTATATTACCATCTATTAAAATAACCTTCATAAAATACCATTTAAATGAAAATCATACAATTTTGGGGAAAAAAATTTTATAATATAAACTTTTATATAATAATTGCATATTTAAATTATTAATAAATGCACAACACACATTTGTTATTTTCACACTAGTTTTCATACAAGCTTCTTTCATGTTGAAGTTTTGCAACTCAAGGTTCGTTGAATTTGAACAAATTTGTAAACTATAGAATCAAAAGTTAGAGTAAATCATCAACAAACTCTTGATTATAATATTCAGTCACAAAACACTTTAGTGTTCATTCTTGAATAAAGGAATAAGGAAAAAGAAACATTAATGGAGTGCTGGACTTGAATGCAAGGAAAATTGTTCATCTAGATACCTCTCCATAATTTGCTCAAGGAATTTAGTATTTTCCTTTCCAGGCACCTTCGGTGCCTCTTTCTCCACTCTACGGTAAATGGTTTAATTAATCAGGGTAAAGAGGAACTAATCAATACTTTTTTATTTAACAGTACATAAAGATCAATTCAAACTCTGATACATGATTTATTATTTTTGATTGAAGTATCATATTGATTCTTTATGATGTGTTAAATGTTTGACACACAGAACTTCAAATGTTAAAAGAAAATTAATTCCTATCTTCGGAAACGCATAAAACCATCATCATTTAAGTTAATTTGAACATAACTCAGTAAGGAACAAACATTACTTAGACTGTCGAGAGGATGGTCTGTAATTCATGAAAAACATATTTGTGATTTATAAATAATTTCTATGTACTGATACATTATTTGTAATTTATAAACAAGTTCTATGATACTCTATTTAACATGGCTTATGGAAGAGAGAGCACTTTTTCAAATAAATGTTCAATATGCTATAATTTGTATAGATATTGACTTAAATTATAATCAATCTGATTTTTAGTACGTATTTTTTCTCTATTTTGTATGTGCTAAATAGAATGGACTTATTTCCAGACAAGAGAAATATTTACCAGTGAAATATTGCATAAAAATCTACATAAAGTCGTTTCCTATTATTCTTTTTTGTCTGTCTGTCTGTCTGTAAACAATCATTCAAAATGCTACTCCTCCTACAGTTTTGGTCTGATTTCAATATAACTTGGCACACAAGTATGTATCGGTTTTTGATTTCGATGAACGGTGTTGCCTTTGTTACTAAAAATAGAAATTTCTGTGAAATTCTTTCAAAATGCTACTCCTCCTACAGTTTTGGTCTGATTTCAATATAAAATACTAAGAACATTTCTGTGTATCAATGAAATAAAATAGAAATTTCTGTGAAATTCTTTCAAAATACTACTCCTCCTACAGTTTTGGTCTGATTTCAATATAACTTAGCACACAAGTAGACCACACTAAGATACATAATTCTGTGTATCGATTTTTGATTTCGATGAACGGTGTTGCCGTTGTTGCTAAAAATAGAAATTTCTGTGAAACAAAGACTTTTATGATTTCAATATAACCTGGCACACAATAGACTAAAAAAAAATTCTGTGTATCGGTTTTTGATTTCGATGAACGGTGTTCAAAAATAGAAATTTCTATGAAATTCTTTAAAAATGCTACTCCTCCTACAGTTTTGGTCTGATTTCAATATAACTTGGCATACAAGTAAAACATAATTCTGTATATCAAGAAATTTAAATAACAGTTTTGGTTGATTTCAATATAAAAACTACATTTTATATATCGGTTTTTGAAAACGGTGTTGCCATGGTAACTAAAATTAGAAATTTCTGTCAAAAACTCTCATAATGCTACTCCTCCTGCAGTTTAAGTCTGATTATAATATAATGTGGCATGCAAGTAGACTATACTAAGAACATAAAGAGACTTATCAAGTTATTCTTTTTATTGCTGTGGTAAAGTGATTCCTCTGCTATAAGAACAAACAGGTTCAAAGTTTTAATCCCAAAATACTCTTAACCTTGATGGTGACAGCGAACTTTGATTTGCTCCTGGACAAGATATAGCCAGGCCCCGTGACAAACGGTACCAGGGGAGTCTGTAAGTACCAAAATTAGCATAGAAAACAGGTAAATATAGCATCAGTTATCAACAAAAAACAACTAGAATATGCCGATTGCTCAGCGGAAAATACTGACGTCTAGATTCTTTTGCCATGGCGGTGGTTTGTTGCGTTTGGCAGGCATGTGGTTTTCTAGGTTGTGGCGTCTTGTGGGTTCATGTTCTACCTGGGACACACGATCACAGCTAGACCTAGAATGGGGTAAGTTTTATTTCATACATAAATGTTTTGGTTTGGTTTGGTCATTTTGACTCTGGTATCAATGCTTCAACAACTGACAAAGAAATCTTTTGATGTGCAGTTTTAAAATCAATTTTGAAATAACATGAAACTTGTATGTTATTTATGTTATATTAATTAAAAGAAAACTAATTGAACCCTGTAATTAAATAAATATATTGTTCTCGTTATTTTGAACTTCTAAAGAGTGGCACGCATAAGGTCATATATTTCTAAACCTCTAGGTGATAAGAGCAGGCGTCCGAACTCAACTTATCAAAACTAGCAATACACCTGACAAGCATATCAGGGTGGAAAACTTAATTGAAAATAAGTTAAATATTTATTCAAAGAATTAGTGATTGGGGCGTCAACGCCTTTGAAAATTTATCACATAACACTAGCAAAGCCTATTTCTTTTTTAGAAAAAGTGGGCCATCAAGAGTTGGTTGACTTAACAGACTAAAATAAAATACACACCGTAACTTAAATAATTCACAAACATTATTAATGTTCCGAACAATTTCTTTATTTTTTCATACTAGGATAAGCTGTCTGTTCATTATGTAATATTATGCAATTCTGTTTAGCATTTAATTAAGGTCATCTTCATTTTAAACTCTTAACACTCAAGAGGTTTATAGTCAATTTAATTCTAACAATTGATTTTTCATTGAAAATCATCTTTTATGTTGTTTTTTAAATATGTAACTGAAGTCATGTTTAAGAAAAAGTAATGTACGTTACAAAAACTTTTATTCGAAATTCAATGTTGGTAAAAAATAAGTTACCAGACTCAATTAAATCTTTATAAATTGTAACTGACATACTTTATGTCTATGATATACTAGTTATCGTAAGTTTACTCACACAAAAAAATTACAAAATAAAATTGTATATTTTCTTTAAATTCCCTTTTATTTTCTTTAAATATATGTACTCTTTTATCATACCTTTAATTTTAATACTGTTTTATATGTACTGTGTACATATTTACTTTTCCGTATATAGGAAAAGACTCTTGCAGGCTTCTATGTACCATGCACAATTCCACGTTTGAGTAAACCATCAAATAAGAGTTATACAGTTTATTTTTAATATTTGATCATTTATTTGAATCAAAACATCGTATCAACGAAAATGTTTCTACATTCCTCACATCTTTACTCAATAATAAATATCTTTCACATTAATATTATTGACAAAATCCTTTCCAGTACTATTTGGAAGAGATTTAAAAGTAATATATATATTTTTTAGTAAATAAACATGCCCCCCATTAATATAAATATTGCATGATTAAGAGTTTAATGCTAGATAAATGAGCTAGCATCAATAAATAAATTTACAAATGATTTAAACTTTTGGCCTTTATTTAGATTTTAATCGTAGGTTAACTTAAAATACATAAAATATTATGCAAAGGTTTTTTTGTGTCCTACGCACCAAAAATTACTTAAATCAAAATGAATTTCATTTAGAATTCAATTTTTCTCGAAGATCAAAATCTTCTAAAAATTAGTGTGAGTAAACTTACATGTAGTAAGTTAAATGAAATATATCGAATACAAATGACATGCACTTAAAAAGGAAACTTTGATTTTAAAAAATTTTTAATGATATATGCTGTTAATTATGTTCTGTTGAAGTACAAAAGCTAGAGTGCGATGTCAAAATACCCCCACCCCTCTCCCCCAAAAAAATTTTCACGAGACCTTAATTACATCAATAGAGTTTGTTAATGTATCCCATGTATTCCAAAATATATTTTGAAATCCAAAACATATACTTTTTGAAATTCCGATTTAAAGGAAACATAAAATAGTTTTTTTTTCTTTTCAGCAAAATCGAATAAAATCAATGCAAACTGATTCCACCATGTGACACTGTGAGTTGAAAAAAATGTCATTAGCACTTACTCTGATTTGGCAGATAATACTGCAGCGGCTGTACGTGGCCTGTTTATCTTTGAAGGGGCCACTGATGTTGCATTGTTGAGATTCGTATTGGCATTAAGTGAAACTCGAATAGAAGCTGGAGTTGATCTGAAAACAATAAAAACTTGATTAATTTGAAAGTCACGTTTAAAACATAAATTTGTTAACTTTTATATACGTTTGTATTGATATACTATATTATGTACTTTGTCAAAGCATGAAAATTGTAAAAATAATATTTATAAAATCATCGTATATCAATATCTTAAAAATAACCTGGATATACATGTATATCTTTATCCAATAAACCAATGACTATTACAGCAAAAAGGTCAATAACAAAATCCACGTGGTTAAAAGGAAGTTGCCCACGACACGTTCTTCAAGGTATTCCTTATTTACAACTCAATTTCAATCTTATCTTTAAGTGTATTTCTTGTGACAAAAAGCCAATAGGGAAAGAGGTTATCGCTGATAAAAGTGATCCGTAATAAATTTCAAGTCCTTCATCAGAAATAGACGTGTTTTTACATGTCAATCAAATATAGTACAAACATGGTACGTACATTCTTCAAAACGGTCTAAAATCTTTCTTATTTTGTAGCAAACAGTAAACTTTAAAAATAGCAACGTTAACACTGAAATTCATGAGAAAATAAATGAAAATGAAAATGACAATAATCAAATTTTAATCATCGCACTTTTAATTTAAAAAGTTGACACAAATTACTTTCTACCTGATAGATGTTTGAACGAGTTACTTGTTTGTTCCAATATCAATATAAAAAGGTGTAGGAACAAATTGATGCAACTCTGTACAAACCCAAAGGTCGACAGTCACAGCTCAATCAAGATTTAAATACTTATTCTGGTTTCTTCCTAAAGCCCTGTCTTGATTAAGCTGTGAGGGTGAAGAAATGTTCATTGAATGGTGGAGATAATAACCCCTCATTATGCACATTCAATCTTCTCCTGTTTGATTTATCTGCATTTAAAATAAATATCCAGACCATAGTTTAATGCGACGAGAGATCAATTTCTACTTCAGATTTTTGAAATATTACGAAGTCTGTTGCATATGAAGTGTAAAATGTTATTTGATCAATAATTTAATAGTTTAACAGAATGTTGCTTCACTTAAGTGATAATATTTAAAAACACTTCTCGGAAATTTAAAATGCAAAACTTGGTTTTTATTTTTACGTAAAAACTCCAGCGATTGAACAGCTCACAATCTTTCTGATTTACTCATGACTTTATTGACACAAGACTTCTATAGTTTACACCTGTATGGCAAACCTGACGTCAAGTTGTCAATGCAAAAAAAGGTACATTGATTTTTATTGCATCGGATAAAAAGTTACCAATATTTTAAACACAGTTTAGAGAGGGTTCACTTCAAAATGTAGGTTTAACTATTTCAAGAGAATATATAAAGCCTGTTTACAATGTATAAATGTTTTCCATAAGTCAGCAAAAACAGATGCTTTTGAAAATACAATGCACTATATCTTTATTTGTAAACAAAGTCCTCACAATGAAATTGTTTAAGACTGTGAAAGTTGAATGAAAAGTTTTTTATGAGACACGAATGCTGAAAAATTATCAATCGTGTTGCCTTAATGCTGGATTTGTGCAAATTCTTTATCTCATGTAAATTTACATAGCAATGAGAGAGAGAGGGAGAAAGAGAGAGAGAGAAAGGTATCCCCTATCCACACTTACACATAATGTATCACGAGTTTTCGAGGATCGTCGATATAGGAAGCATAGGAGGTCAGTGTGTATCCTTCGGACTGTACATTGGGCAAGAAAGTAGTAAAGGTTGGCTGTGAACCAGTGGAAGGTACCTCGGCCTCAGTAAGGAATGACTTTGGGTATGTAGTTAGCTTCTTCTCATCAAAGGAGAGGGATTTAGGCTGGTTAGTGAAGAACTTGGGCTGGTTAGCGAGTTGTGGTAGTACGTCAGTCATCACAAACCTTTACCTACGGGAAATCGATGGATGAAATGATAAATTTATAGATGTGTGGACAGCAAGACTGGGTATTTTTTTCGTATGTCTCTAGCTATTCATTCGGCTTTGTTGTCATTGGGAAAAGGTTGTCGACTTAGATCCATAAGTAAACACTGGGGATCAAATCTGTGCACCTTAATCCGGGTTAACCGTGCAAGAAAGTCCCTGACTTCTGGTAAAAGTGGTCGTCAGCTGGTATCCAGTTGTGGAGGAAGATTCATCGATGTCCTTTCGTGGAATTGTTAAATATAGATAGTAGCTCAAGGGCGTTACAAATTGAACGCCGCTAATATTTTTTTCTTTCGTAAGCTTCCATTTTTCCAAACGACTGAAGATGATAACATTAACAAATCCAATATTAATGAAAGATTCACACAAACTCAATCCATTTACGTCAAGAATCCGGTGATAAAATTTCTAAATATTTAAGAACTTGTATGCAGTCATTTGAACATTTCATCACAGAGATTAGTAAAAATCAACCAATGTACGTGTCTAATCAAAAGTTGACGTAGGTAGAGGAAAAATAAAATCCACCGTTCCTTGCAGTAACCTAAACTTTCATATCATTGTCGGAAAATACATATCTGGAAGATCAATTTTGAATCCCTGTTATGTTCTAAAAGCATATTCATGTGCTCAAGTATACGTGAATGTTTAGACCCTTTAAATTTTTCGAACAATTCATTTGTGTATTGGATTTGGCTGACACAGAATGGAGAGGAATAAACACTTGCACTGACCTATAGACGAATTGTCGAGGGAATTTCGAAGGTCATCTGCTGTATTAGTAGTAAATTTCTTGTTCAAATAAACGGTATGTGCTTTAATTTAATAGCATTGTATGCATACATATACATGAATGTAGGACTTGATGTTCAGCCATTCAAGGTGAAAATTAACACCAATCTATGAAATAGCTGGAAAAGTATCAAACAGTTGTTCTTGTTTATGTCTTCACTAACTAGGAGATTTGGATAGGAGAAAAAAGTTCCTTAACAAGAGACTGACTTAAAAGCAAATGGTTTCAGAAAATATAAGAACCCTCGGTTGGAATAAAGAATAAACGTTAAAAGTCCGAAAACTTTGAATTAAAAACAACAAAGTATCCAAATGATATGGTTTAAAAAGGAAAGTCACAAAGCTGAAAATGTGTACATCCATGATGAGCCTGTTATATTCTGTATGGTATGAACCTTCTTGAGTGAAATAGAAATTTTGGGGTATTTCACTGTGATGTAGCTTCAAATTATACTGCAAAAATTGGTAGTATTGTTAAAAATGTCCTCCTTTTAACCATCAAAAGGTGATTGCAAAATGAAATACATTTTCGGGGTGAGCATTTTAAAACGATACAAGAATACTAGAAATTGAAAAGCAAACAAAACCTATTATTGTACATGTATGTTGAATAAAAGGAGATAACATACTGAAAATCTCTGTAGGAAATTGAGTCAGGAAAGAAAAAGAAGAATCGTACATTGTGAGAATCAGAACTGGAAAATAAGACAGCTCACACTCATTGGGTGGAACCCGAAAGATAAAAAAGGAGATAATTATACAAAGGACACATCCATTGAAGAAAATGAGAAAAGAATCTAGGAGTGTTAATCGTTTTCAAATCTTCAAGGCAATTTGAATTCTCATATGTAAACCACAATTTCTGAAGAAACAAGCCAGAGTTAGAAAAAATACTTTGTCAACATTTAAAAAAAAGAGACGTCAGACATGAAGTCTTAAAAATTAAAGTAAGATGGTGCCAAAATGGGGATTCTGTTTAAATCAGAAAAGTGTGAGCTCCACAGGAGCAATATATACAATGATAAAAATTGTTAACTCGACTTAGCTTCAGCAAATTGCAGTTCAACCTAATAAAGTTTTGAATTTAAAAAAAGTACCGATATTTTTATATACATGTCCACTGTTGTACTTGTATTTACATACCGATATTCATGAGTTGGAAAGGTTAGGTTCATTCTGGTGATATTTGCAGTGAAACAGGTCTCCAGTGTTGTTTTTTTTTTTAAATTCTTGTCGGATTATTTTATTAAAGCGTATTTTCCACTTAATTTATCATCAAATCCCATCATCTGATTATTAACGATAATATTTTCCTCAACCTTTTGTTATTTTACTTATTTTAACCAGAGTATCGAAAACAATTTTCTTTGAAGTAAATCTGTATTTAAAATATTTCTTTATAAATACATCCAAAGGATAATTGTAACCTTAAAGAACTTAAAACTCTTCAAATTGGTTAACTTGAGATGAATTGTTTTACAGCAATAATTATTTTAGGTAAACAGATATACGGTATTCCCGGTACGTTTATATAGACGATTTATCTCTTTATTGCTCTTTCGTTAAGTATTGTGTCAAGTTCATCAGGTATCTTTTTAGCCAAAGATTGTTTTAAAAAATATATCATTGCAAAGAAAAGATTGAAATGAAATGCAAGTTTTAATAAAAAGTGACGAAATAGTACTTCTTGTTAATTTTTTTTATATATAGGTGTGTACTTTACAGATTTTTTGAAAAAATAATCCTTTTCGAAGACTAATAAGACATTTTGTCTACCGATTTTATAATCTCATTAGAAAGATATGTGTCTGCAGTTACAAGCAAGGAAAGGGAATGTCATTGAAATACGCTATTCACGGAAGCAGATCCGTTCATTTCGGACTTTCAAATTGGTTAGAAATTTATTTCAATATGAGAAAAAAAAATATTTAAAAGAAACAATTCGTATTTTTCTTTAAAGTAACTTAACAATGTTTCATAATCAGAAAGCATTATGCCTTTTGTTTTTGACAAAATCCAATAAAATATATGATATTTAAAAAAAAATACTTTCTTTTTACATACAAATTGTTACGCCATTATTTTCTACGGATTTGACTACGGTTTTTTTTTTTCGTTTACTCGAGCATGAAAAGGAGCACACACCGGATGTGACGTTGACAGGGGATGGGTACTCCTCCAAGGCACCTGATCGATCCCACAACTGATGTTTTAGAGGTTCGTGTGTACTCTGCGCCTGGTATGTGCATGTTCTTCAATGGACTTTAGAGTATGCTTATTGTTCGTTATCTTCTTAATTCATCCACTGCTAAAAGTGCTTGAAAAATAAAAACTTTTTTTTTAAAAGAAACAATGCTGGTCACTCTTTTATACAAAAATAGATGTGTGACCAAAGGGCTACTCTTAAAAAATATACAATGCAAAATATTGTGATTGAGGGAGACAGCGAAAGGAGTTACATGAAACATTTACAAAAGGAATGTATGTTTCAATGTATTGGGGGAAATCTAAAATCATTAAGAATACAGGTGCTTTTAATGCATATTTTTTTTAAAAAGTTTTATAGAAAATAAGCCTGACCTTAAAGTCGAATAATAATTAGCTACTTCCATCATACAAGCACGTAAACAAACAATCTTGGACGTTATAATCAACCAAGATTAAATCTATCAAGATCAGCTTTGTGAATCATTAATTTTTACATTGAATACCAATAGCCTGTTATAAATGAATGGAATCTTTCTTGCAATATGTAACGTGATATTAGCAGGTTGAGGTCTTAAGTACAGGTTCTGTTTCCATAATCATGGTTCATCAAAGAAGTAAAACAATTAAACTGCCTGGTTTTGATCCTGAAACTTTATGGGCATGTTTGTATGAATAACTTCAGTCTTTACATCATTCTGGACGTTTAAATCAGAAAACAGAATTCAATTTAAATGCATCGTTTATTTTTTTTCAAGAATCTACGACACACAATTAAAAGCATTTTAAAGTTTCAATAAACTAGAAACTTAATTTCTGTTTACAAAGGAAAGAGAAATTATACAATGGTGTAAAACCATTTTAAAATTCCAATGCAAAGCTGATTTTTTTTTTCAAATGAAATCGCTATAAACATGTCTATATGCAGGAATAGCTGTTGCTATCAAAATGTATAGATTTTTCTTTAGAAGTTTTAAGGAAAAATATAAATTTTACATTAAAGAAATCCTTTGGCAAGCACAACCACTTATTCCTTATTTACTATATGTAGTAAATGTGAACCATTTGTTTCAAGACAGAATGATAATTTAACACATGTTAAAAGCTGAAAAAAAGTGCACTGTATTTAGGATGCTGAATGAATGTAAAAACGATATTTTAAGAAAACAAATATTTTTTTTTCAAAGCTACTAAAATATCACCTAATAAAAAATATTTTAAAATCCAAATAACCTGTTAAAGTCTTCTTAGTAATACACAATCTCTAAACCAGTACCCGCAGGCCTTTAGATCGCTTAGAAAAAAATTGAGGTGTAAAATCTTTTTTACACACACAATTTATTTTTAAGAGATCCAAAGGCCTGTGCCTGTACCTATATGCATTAAGTCTACAAACTGTTGCATCGTAAGTCGGAAATAGCGGAATCATGACGGGATAGAAGGACAGTTTCCAGATATTTCATGATCAGATAGTCCGATCCTCAGGTTTATAAAATTAGCAGTTAAGTAATCAAAAATACTCATAAAAGTATCTCTGAATCCACAAAGTTATGTAAATTTATCCACAGTATTTCTTTAAAGTAAAATATTAAAGTTAATCATATTATATAGGGAAAATAGTCAAATCTCCAATATTTTTGCAGAAAAAGCAAATTGGAATATCAGCAATGTATTTTCTAATTGCAAATTGATGAACAACAATATTTTAGGTTAAAAAATGATAGGTATCCAGGCATTTAGAGAAATTGTCATAAATTTTATACTTATTTGGTATTTTTTTGTCTTCTATTTCCGTTATGTATTCTATTATACATAGTGTAAAAGGCTTTTGCTGTCATTGCAAGACACCACAAATCACTTCTGATTTCATATCATGCTAATAATCATTTTTATCAAAGGCTGAATTCAAGAAAATCTTATTTCTCGGAAACTGTACTATTTTTTTTCTTTTTATAGGGTACAAATGTCAACTTTTATAAGACCTTTTCTAAGACTTCAAAAACCTTGAATTTTATAAAGACGAATAAAATGGAAATTGTTGCATGAAAAAAAAATCATTTTCAAGGTTTATTTTGATGCATTTCAAATAAAATATTAATTTTTGGAGTTTTCCTTCCTGGCTGAGGATCGGATATCCTTAATTAACATACAAAAATAGTCGGCATATTAAGCATTATTATACTTCTGTTAAAATGTTTCCTATATAAAGTTCAGAAGGTAAAATAGCTATCTTTTATAGTTTACGCATAGCAAAGCTATACCCCGGGGTATAGTTTTTGCTATCCACCCTCGGAAAATTTTCATGCAATTTTTGCCTCCAATTTTGATATCCAGCGATAAATCTACTGACTGATGATGTCATAATGACTTCAGTAGCATTAACAGGATATATTCCCCTCGGGCAAGCCCTCGGGGAATAGTTCCCTGTCGCGGGTTTGATAAAAGATCTATCCCACTCACAACCAGTGGATAAGCACTATCCGATAATTGTTGGTGTAAGTAAACAAAGAAATAATTTAAGAATGTTCTTTTTGAACTTTTTAAATCTTGCATGCATCGTTATGGATGGGATATTCACAATATCGACTCATAAAATATACATGTATAAAAATTGATTTTCTACATGATCCCTGTCTTCATTTATTACCAATAATGTTTTTTTTCTTAAAAAAAGAAGACAATCTATCAAAAGTAAAAAAAAAAAATAATGGAAAAATACACACAAGCAAAAC